CATCTAACTGTATTTGATTGATAACTCTAATAATATTTCTGAATGTACATTATCCTATATTGACTTTTATTCAAATATCTAGTCAAATTCCATACATGTATATAAATGAAGCAAGAAAGTTGTGTGGGTAGTGACTTGATATGATTATAAGCAGCAATAGTTTGCGCTCGAATCGTGGTCATCGGTAAATATTACTTACTGTATAACAAACACTGTGTGATTTATCAGAATAAAATCTTATTCATAATGGAGTTATTATACTGTACCGCCACAGTTCTATACTTATATCAATGGATCTGTCTTGTACTGCAATTAAAATGTCTTTAGAATATCTCATATCTGGTCTGGGAACCGTTGCTGTTGTTGGTTGGTGGTGAAATGATGAAAACAATTGCAAGTATAATTGTACATAACGTATAAACCTTATTGAAATGAACCGTGGTATATAATTTAACACAATATATTATTAATATTGTGCCTCGGTGGCATAGCGGTTAGGACGCTCGCCGAGCATGCGCATGGTTCGGGGTTCGATCCCCCCGCCGGCGCACTCCTTTACCTCGCTAAGCCATTAGTGAGACTGGTGAAGAGGAAAGGTTGGGCATGAGGCTAGCAACCCCATCCCGTAAAAATTAACACTGCTACAGAAACTTCAAGCCTCTAGCTTAGAGCCCTATGTTCCACTGGGAACGTGCAGGAAAATAAAAATAAAGTACATTATTAATATTTGTATATATATATATATATATATATATATATATATATATATATATATATATATAAAAACTTTGCTTGTTTTAAAGTTTCTCAAAGTCTCATTCATTCGGTAGCGGTGAATAGGCGTAGATTTCTGTATGCTTGCTTCGTTCTGGGTTAGGATTCCTCGATGGACCAGCGGTAGGAATACTCACCAACCATTCATGTGACTCGGGTTTCGATTCCTGGCCTACACATACCTATAACCCCCTCCCCTGTAGACGGTTGTAAATCGGACAAATAAGGAAGGTTGGGCGTGAAAAAAAATCTAGTACTATTGAAAATTCAAAGTCTAAGCTTGAAGGAATAAAGTAATCAAGTAAGTAATAAATATCATTCGTCAGTAGAATGTACCACCCGCTTGACAGTGAATAGTGGACGAGATTCACTGAGATTCAGCATGGCAGCGCATCTGATTGCTTTAAACGCTTCAGTTTTATCCACTGGCAGTGCCATCTCTTTTTTGTTGTTGTTGTCGGTACAATAGGTACTGGTGGTCATCGCTAGATAGGTAACTTTGAATTAAACACTAGTTCTGTTAATTTATATTGAAGGCATTCGTTCATGTTCAGATCTTTCAATAGGAAATTACAAATATGGTTAAGTGCTAATGAAGAGTCCTAAACACTAGGACGAAACAGCTGTCCAGTACTCCAATGCTGAGTTTCCAATGTTTCTCTAACCGATATCACCTCATGATAAAATCCTGAAACCAAACAAATCAAATCCCTGCAAACCAACACTTGAATATTCATCTGATACTCACTAGCGACTGGGTCTATTCAAGTAGGTAGTTACCCTGGTTCCTAGTCGGAAGTCGTGACCAAGTGACCAGTGGGGTGTGAAGATAAATACTCGTCACGCTATATCGTGAATTGGTTAAAGGCGGAATTCATGGACTGGCTATTGGATCGAATAGGGTCGGGGGTCCCAGTAGCTTCATGGTATACGATCTAGCTGGTCTTGTAACCGGAAGGTCTTGAGTTCAAACCTCCTGATGAGAAGTTTTTAACCAGGACGAGACAGCTGTCTTGTACCCCCAGGTCCTCGAAACAATACCAGCTCATGATGATATCATCTTATAACCAGTCAAATCCTTGTAAACCAACACTTAAATACGAATCCAGTGGAAAAATGATTTTGTGCAGTGCAAATGTGAACAGATGATTTCTCTCTCTCTCTCTCTGTGTGTGTGTCGGGGTAATACAAACTTCTGTCTTATTCTTTTTAAGTCATTAATTATTAGTTGCTTTGTGCAAATATGATAATTAACAATTGTGATTTAAAGGCTGTAGGCTAATCTTTGTCATTTTGTTATTTTTTGTTTGTTTGTTTATGTCTGTCTGTCTGGATTCAACATAGAACTTGGCACCGAAGTGCACCAGTTCGAGTTGCCACCTTCCAAATAGCACACAGAGGTAGACAAGAAGATGAGTGAAGAGAATCAATACAGTCTGACAAGTATAAGAGTGGAACAGAATGGGTAATGGTAGAAAGAAATATGAAAGATTACAGAGACTGAATACATGTGCGCTGGCCATTGACAACGATTTTGAGCCATTTCACCTATTGTCTCCAGCCATTGATTCCTAGAGTCCCGTATGTGTGTGTGTATCACAGCTGTAACCATAGTATCATCACATTATCTCCAACGCTATCCTTTTGCACTTCTTAAGCTTGTGTGTGTGCGCGCGTGTGTGTCTTTTTTGAATACAACGTGAAACAACCTAATTGCCATATTCTTCATATCTTTCGTTTTCATCCCAGCTAATTGTTTATTTATTTATTTAATTAGATGCTTACTTTTTCTAGATTTTATTTATGATCCTTTTACATGAATAAATTATTTGCTGCATAATAGAATTATAAATGTCTGATCGTCGGCGATCGTTATTATTATTATTATTGCTCTCTTGGGTTCGGAGCGGAACATAAGGCGGCTTCAACACCACATCTTTACTCTATCCTATTCACCGAGGTCCTCCTATGATAGCTCATAATCTCTTATCTCCTTCATGTCACTCTCGTCGTTTCCCATTGGCGTTCCACTAGGCGTGCAATGTCATTCGACGGTCTCCTTGGTATTTGTCTGATCCGTCTTCATTATCTATTCGCCCCTTGAGTTTTTTGTTGCTAGCTCTTTCTGGTCGACCATCTGACCTTCATTAGGGATTCAGCCAAGGAGGTAGCTGTTGAAAAAAGTCCTGTGGTAACCTGTTGGAAATGATTTTTTACGACAGGGACTCCAAGTTTTTTGATCCATACAGAAGAATTGACTAACTTAACATTTGTGTTTAAAATCCAGGTTCTTCAAGTATAAAATATAATGTGTTTATCGTCGTTTCAATAATGACAGCCCCTTATGAAACGGATACATTTCTTCAACGTAGAATAACAGATTAGCAGTTATGGGGTGTTAAAATAAATAGTCGTATTTGAGTTTGAAAAGGGTGCTCTAGGCTGAAATCGATTACAAAATATTGTTAAATGCGAGACGACGACGGTGGCCAAACATAGATTGATGATTCTTCTTCTCACATAGAGTGCTTCTTCCCCTTAACCCGCTTGGTTCTTTTTATTTCTTTGCTTTTTATTACAACTATTACTGTTATTATTATTATTTGTTATAATTTATGTCGTTCATGCAAACATTCTCTCAATAGTATCGAATTTTCCATTCATACTATCCGGACTTATTATTAGTAGTGATATTATCTCTCTTTTCTCAATATATATGCCTCCACCTGTTTCTTCTCACACATTCGTTATTTCATGATGAACCTCTCATTGCAGTCTTACTATCTCGTTCTCTTTAAAACATACCACTTTGTACTAGCCACTCACTCACCTGACACCTTTTATAACCTTGAACTGACTTGTCAATTTTTCCTACCCCCATGTTCTACGAATCTATGATGACTAATCACCACCGTCATTGTTTCGCATTTCGTAACATTTCGTAATCGATTTCAGTTCAAAGCACGTTTGTCACAGTCAAATACGAATACTTATATTGACACCCCATAGCTTTTATCTGTTATTCCACGTTGACAATAAAGTATCCGCCGGATAACTGGCTATCATTATTGAAACGACAATAAATATTATACTTTATAATTGTAAAAGGCTGAAGAGGAGAAATTATTGAAACGAATATGCTTCGTTCAGATTGATTTATGCATTGTAGTTTCTAAATAGACTACTGTATAAGAGATTACATCATTACTAGTATTATGTTAATCTTATGAATTGTACTACTGTGAGTAGCATGTATATATGTGTTTATGTATGCATGTGTTTGTTTTTGCCTATGACGTCCCAATTTATGCGCCTGTGTTTTCCTGAAATGTGTCTAACCGAATAGACAATGCTAAATGACATGATCGAAATTAAGAAAATGACGCATTATCTCTGATCTGATCTATTCACACTACACTTAATTCCATAGTTTGTGCGAGGGATGCAGTATGCAAGGTGATTGGGTTGTCTTAACTGACCAATTTCTGATTTTTTTTTTTTCTTTCTACTTAATGTCAGAGCAAAGATCCACAAGGGGGAATGATGATGCTGTATCCTTCATAAGTAGTCCGTGACCGAAACGAAACAGGTTGATACGTCGTTATTTGTTATCCTTTCGAATTTTGAAGTTCTATTAGGTGGAGGGGGTGGACTAGCATGTCCACCAGTCAACATGTGTAAGCGTCAAACATTCGCATTTATTTACCTTTAACTTTTGTTGGCATTACTTGAATGAAGGCAATGAACATACTCACACACACACACACAGAGGACTTATTCATGAGTATTTGGATTTTTATTTTTAAAGTGATCATGTTATTAGAAGTTAATTGGTGGATGGTGACTAGCAGTGGAATCCATTAGAATGCGCATTTCGTCCTATTTAGGACTCGTCAGCTAGTGGATGTACCTGCATTCCCCAGTGAGGGATGATGCGGGTACATTCATTAAGCTGACGAGTCCCAAACGGGATGAAATGCGCATTCTAATGGATTCCACTGCTAGTCACCATCCACTGTAAAAGCATCTGCACAAGAAGCCGACATGTCAACCTGAGATAGAGCTCTTCGGTCCAATCAATCAATCAGTCGACGGGAAAATCTAAAATTCAATTAAGTGATCATATTATTGATGTAATTTTTCGCATTCAATAAGCTCAATATTAAGTTCTTCTTCTGTTTTGCGTGTATATTATGTATTTTTTATTGTTGTTTTTGTTGTTGTAGAATTCTAATGCTACAGCATCTTTTGCCTCCTGAAGCAATCCAAGAGATTCGTCAAATATGGCAAGAAATGAATGCACATAACAATACTAATAATAATAACGACAATAAATCAGACACTGATGTTCCAATGACTTCTTCAAAATCATCTTCATCAAATCAATCGACAGTTGCTGCTACCGCTGCTGTTTGTGGTGGTGGCGGTGCAAGTCCTATTTATCATCACAATTCACCCAGTCTACGTGAAAATTTTGCTCGTCGTGTACGACAAGTGGTTAGACAATATCTTGGGCCTAAAGCATTTGTTGCAGACAATTTCAATGAACCACAAAACACTGAAACAGATTCATCCTATATGAAGACAACAAAAGCTGCTACTGCTGGCGGTGGTGGTGGTGGTGATGATAATAAGAGTCAACAATCGTTGACATTTTTATCCAATAATGAATTACATCGTGAGTAGTTGTTCAATTGTTTACCGACTTTGAAGTTTAAAAGCATACAGGTGTATAAGTTATTGAATGTGTAAAACTTGGGCACTATGGTTTGTTTATTACATGTATCACATAGTGAAACAGTATTATTGCATACTGGATGACAAGGTTTTGAACACAATCTATTAATCATAATCATATCAATTGTGATCACACGACTTTGAAATTTGAGTTTTATAGTTTTCTTTGTCTTCTCCTATTTGTTGTAATGGTAGTAGAATTTTCCATATATCTGGGACAGATGTTGAATCATTCCTATTACACGTATTTTCATTCAGTTGATTCGATAAACAAAGCTTCTGTTATCAATCTCTCCGTCCACCCAGCCATTACAATAGATTTTAAAACTGTCGTCCTATCCCATCCTTTTGTATGGTTGCATGAAATCGCATGTAGTGAGTGCTATAGTTGAACTATTCTCTAGATTTCTTATCTTATTCAGGTCAACTAATCTAGACTTTGCTGCTAGGTTTTTATGCTCTGCTAGTCTGACTGCACCTGTTCTACTAGTTTGACCTATGTATTTGACCTGACAATCATTCCATCAGTATATTAGACGGACTAAATTGTTTTATTTTAAAGGCTTCACATGATTGATCCTTTAACCGACAAAGCTTGTTTCTAATTGAGTTTGTGGGTAGTTTGAATGCTAGACACTTTTATTTCTGCCTGCTTTGTTAAAAATTCTGAGTAATGTCTCCGAGGTTCCTTCGTTGTATGGAATTACTACTGATGATTTAGATTCCTTATTGTTGGTGTTGTCTTGCGCATGTTTGACATGCATGTCGTCATTAATATTATTATTATTATTATCACTATCACTACTAACATTATTTGTTTTATTTTTACATTTCCTTACATACTTTCTGACTGATTTATCAGGATAATTATAAAGTTTCAAGGCTTCTCTTATATGCGTCACTTCCTGTCTTAGATTTCCCTTGGTACTACCTTGATGGGTGGAGAGAGAGATTGATAATGGAAGCTTTGTTTATCAAATCAACTGAGTGAAAATATATGTAAAAGGAATGATTCAACACCTGTCCCAGATATCTGGAAAAGATGTATAAGTTAGGTTTTAATTTGAATGAAAAACAAAAGGCGTCTTTCCGATTAACAGTCTCTTTTCATCGGCGAATTCACCTACCTCTTCTGTTGTACACTAGCTGTCTGATATTGACTAGTTTCAGCGTAGAACTACTTTGTACCGATTTGCAGCAGTTCAAGTTACCACACTCCCTCCTTGTAATATACAAAGCAAGAGAAAAAGGGTAAAGAGAGATTGAAAACACACACACACACACACACAGAGAGAGAGAGAGATAATAAACACAGATATTATTATTTCCTTTAATTCCTAGGAGAATATAGGGCTTCAGCCCCACGTCTCCATTGCGTTCTGTTCTCTACTTGAGTTTTCACCTGGCTCCAAGTCTTCCCACATGCCTTCATCTCCTCTTCACATCACCGCATCCTCCATGTCACCCTTCGACGACCAGCTCCCCGCTTCCCTTTCAGGTCCACTTGAGCAATGGCTTGTCTAGTGATGTCACTTGATGGTTTGTTTTCTCAGAGTATGGCCAGCCAATCGACCTCCATTTCTTCCTGCATATTTGTTTCACAATCGGTTCTTGCTGGGTTGGTTCGCTCATTACCAGAGATCCCTGACTATGGGTGATCTTTTCTGACTGGCGATCTGATCTTGAGTAGTATTGAGCGAAGACAGCTAGCTGTTGATGAATGTCGGTAGTTTGTTTGAGGTGCTCTTTGTGACGCGCTGGCCAAGTCTCTGATCCATATAGTGAGTAGCACTGACTGACTTCACATTGGAGTTGAAAATCCGGATGTTATTTTTGATGATGAGGAGTTCTGTTGACCTCCACACAGACTTGAGAGTAATGAAGCCTTGTTTCGCTTTCCCGATCCTCTCTGCTTTGATATCCTCGTCAGTTACGTCCGCCTGTATTTGTAAAGATGCTTCCCAGGTGGGTAAAGGAGGGTTGTTTCTTTCAGCTTTCTCTCCCCAAAAAAGAATAGTGATATTGAAGAACAATATAGTTTTATTTATCTAAGCTATATTGTGGTGTTTGTGTATGTGAGGGTAGTATTGTAACATTTTAATTTGTATACTCGACTCCCAACCAGTGATTCGCACGTTCGACCCCCCCCCGCCAATCCACCCCTCGTTTTACAGAGTAATAACAGCTTGTATCATCCATCATCTCTGTAATCTTTCATATTCCTTTCTACCATTACCCATTCTGTTTCACTCTTATACTTGTCAAACTCTATTGATTCTCTTCACTCATCTTCTTGTCTACCTCTGTGTGCTATTCGGAACGTGGCAACTCGAATGAGTTGTATATAGCGCTTGATTCATATCAAACGAAGTTATGCTTGCAGTTAGATGAGGAATAAGGTTTTGCAGTATTGCCTGGATTTGGGATTACTTAGGAAGCAGAGATATATCGCCTCATGGAAAATAGGGAGAATTACTTCATTGTTAGGTGGAGAAGGTATCGTCGTACACGTGGACGAAACTGTGTTGTGGCTGAAGAGAAAATGCAACCGTGGTCGTGAGCGAGCCAATAATGTTTGAGTGATCGGTGTATATGACATCTCTCTGCGGAAAAGATTTGTGGTAGACAGAAAGTCTACCACCTTAGTGCCTATTGTCACTCGACTTGTGAAACAGGGATCCATAGTACACACTGATGAATGGAAAAGTTATAACTCGCTGTCATCTCTTGTGTTTATTTATCACAGATTGAACTATTCTAGTGATTTTGTGGTTCCACTTATAGAGGCACACATGAATTCTATAGAAGGATTTTGAGGAAGATTAAAAAATAGGACTTGGGCTATAAATGGATCTCAAAATCATCGCATTTATAGTCGTTTGGATGAATATATATGTACAGAATGTGGTGTAACTTTTCTATTGACACACACTCCTATGCTAAACTGGGAGATGTTTCTCTCATATGTCAGAGAAAGATACTCTATGTAAGAGTTTTATGCAGCTTTTATGCTTTTTTCCCCATAAATATGCGATTTCCTTAATCAAAAATCCCTTTTGCATGTGAGTGGTCCGTCGAAGGCCGTTCCCTGATTGGTAGTTAGTGATGCTTATAGTTTAACTTTGCCATGTGAAATTTATGTTAGAGAATAGCCAACAATTTATGATGATAGCCTTGTTTTTATTGTTTTGCTGTATTTCGTATTTTCTTTTTTTTTGCAGAAGAACGTCGAACGACAAGTCCTGTAATCATTGACGGTAGGGATGATAATAATAATCATCTAACTTCACTTGCTCCAGTCACTCCTTCCTCGACACCAACTTCGACGATAACTAATTTATCTTCGCGTATATCAACTGCATCATGCAGCAGTAGTATTATTAATCCTAATAATAATAACAACAACACCACATCATCTCGGATTCTTTCATCACCATCATCAACAATGTCATCATTATCAAAGTCGACGAAATGGAATCATAGCAGTCCTACAGAAAGTGGAGCTGGTAGTTCAAATATCTCCAGTAGTAGTGGTACAGCACACATAGCATCATCTACTGTTATTTCTTCTAATACGACTACAACACCAACAACCACTGCTATTACTACAATGAATGATGTCGTTATGGTAAGTAGTGATGAATAGTTTGTAGTCATTGTCATTCACTGATTGGCTGATTGATTTAAATACTTGAGTGATTGGTTTTTTTATTTTTTATTCCTTCACGTTCCCAGTGGAACATAAGGCACCTTCAAGTTAGAGGCTTGAATTTTCTGTAGTAGTGATTATTTTTTTTACAGGATGGGATTGCTAGCCAGCCCCATGCCCCCAGCTTTCCCTCTTTACCAGTTCTACTGTAACAACAGAATCCAAGGGCCAGGCAACAGATCGTTTATTAAACGAAATCAACACATATTTATAGATTTTCATGCACATTATTATACATTATTGTTAGCGGGAAAACAGTATTCCGATTGGTTGTTTCTCACGGAAAGTTAACCTTGCATCTCTTTGTGGCTGTTTCTTGAGTGTCAGATCATCTATATGCTAACTATATCCGCCTACGCAAAGCCTTTATTCTCATTTTTCTTACGATCAATATCGGGGACATGAACATTGACGTAAATTACTGCCCACCAATTTTGACTAACAGCCAGCTCTCACCACACTATTATTGGCTTAGCGAGGTAAAGGAGTGCGTCCGCATTGCTAGTCATTGAATCCCAGCTGGCAATGGTGCTAAGTTAGGACGTATAGACCACTAGATTCCATCGGAGTGACTGAATGGTCAACGCTCCTTGGAGTTGGAAACAAAGGGTATATGCTGTTGAAGAGTCTCAACCAGGGAAGGGGGTGAAACAACTGTCGAATATTGCATACTGGCTTTCAATAATTGTCCAAAACTGATATCAATATGTAATCTCGAACTTAATACCAAAAAAAAAATTGTTCATGCGTTGTTGTAGGTGTGTACATATGTTGGGACTAATTATTGATTTTCTCACGGATATAATTAAATCTTCCAACCACTATCTCTTATTTTCTCTCCCTTAATGTCATATTTTCCTACTGATTCGGTGTTATGGGGGGAGAAGCGGGGAAATGAATTTTAAGTTTCACCGTATATACTGTTATTGTAAGAATTTATGTTTAAAGTGTTCTCTCACCTTGTGTTGTGTGTTTATAAAATATCTTAGGAAATAAATTACGTTTAAATTTTTGTTTGTTTGAATAATGAACTGTTGCTTCTCTCTGTAAATGAAAGAAAAAACGAAAATTTTCATCCCATGTTATAGTTGAAAAAAGAGACGCTTTTTTACGATATTTTTGGTTCCGATTCAGTTTTGGTATACTCTGTACACAGTGTATAATGATTGACTAACTGACTGACTGATTTCAACATGGAAATTTGCACAGGTATATATATATATATATATATATATATATACCAGTCCAACTTGCCACACTCCCTTCCTGTTGCGTAAAGAGAGACTGAAAGCAAAGAAAGATAATAAACAGAAGTGTAGACCATCAATTGTCTCTAGTCGCGATTGGTTCTTATCATCCCAAGAACCCCAACCAGTCAACTAGTAGCTAGTCTACACCTCCCAATGCGATTGATTGACTACTGACTGGCTTAAACTAACTGTTGTAGATTTCATTGACTGATGAAGCCATGTTATCCTTTGACCATCATTAACAGCTCTTTTCCAACTTGATCAATCCTGTGTCAGTCAGTCAGTCAGATAACATCCCCCGTTGTCGAGGAAGGCGATCGATAGCTAGACATGCATGCGTAACATATGTCCCAACCATATCACTCAATCGATCAAAGCCTGACCTGAATATTACTTACCCTATTACACCCACCTACCAGCTATCACGGGAGATAGAACGCAGACACTTATAATCAAAGACGAACAACGGACGGTCAGTCTTTTTATGCCTTCCACTTTCAATGATCATGTCACACAGCCATTATGCAGGACAGAGCGAACTGTTGGTGAGCAGTACACACGTCCTATGACCAATAGTCAGATATCATATCTACGTTAGAGAGATGGTGTAAGTTGACAAATGCCAAATGAGTTTATTGTTCTGGAATTTTGTCAGCTATCAACTCTTTGAGGCGGCTGGCTTATGCGTGACCTCCAAGCCAAATAAGTGGAGTGATCAACACACTCAGTCTCCACTTCACTGCTGCTTATCTTTTAGCTAGTAGTCGATGTAGTCCAGTCCTGCAGCATCATCTTACATTTGACAACACAGGAGTGAATCGCATGCCAAACAGTCGAAGATTTCATTCTGACCAAGGTGTTGAGAAACAGTCTGTGTCTAACTTTTCGAGCGTTTTCACCCAGGAGGAAGGACTGTATCATCTGTCTATCCTAAGTCAACAAGATTATTTCCTGGTGGTAATAAGTCACTTCCTGAGTCTCTGAAGTCAGCAGTTAGGGTCAAAATGCATTAGTACATTTATGATGAAACCAAAGAGAAGTGGAGACAGTTTGAATCCCTGATGGACACCACTGGTTGTCACCACTTTAGATGACAACTCGCCGTAAACTCTCACCTGGCTGTATGAGTTCGAGTAAAGTGAGTGCTTTGATCAATACGATGTACTTTTTGGTCGGTTTTGCCTTCACAACCAAACATCGTCATAGTACCTCTCAGCTGGTGGAATCTAATACCGATTGTGTATAATAGTTTTCACTCAGTTGAGGTCATGAGTCAAGAGCTGCATCGGTTGAGTGAGACGTGTTACGCATGCATGTTTAGCCATCGATCGCCTTCCTACGGGTGGAACTGAGAAGGATATTGAAGCAAGGATCGGGAAAGCAAGACAAGCTTTCATTACTCTCAAGTCTGTGTGGAGGTCAACAGAACTCCTCATCATCAAAAATAACATCCGGATTTTCAACTCCAATGTGAAGTCAGTCAGTGCTACTTACTATACGGATCAGAGACTTGGTGCGTCATAAACAGCACTTCAAACAAACTAGAAACGTTCATTAACAGCTGTCTTCGCTCAATACTTTGCTCAAGATCGGATGGCCGGCCAGAAAAGATCAGCAACAGGGAAGGATCTCTGGAAGCGAATCAACCCAGCAAGAACCGATTGTGCAACAAATATGCAGGAAGAAATGGAGGTGGATTGGCTGGCCATAATCTGAAAAAACAAAGCATCAAGTGACATCACCAGACAAGCTATTGATCGAGTGGAACCCGAAAGGAAAGCGGCGAGTTGGTCGTCATTGCGAGGGTAACATGGAGGAGGCAATGATGTGAAGAGGAGATGAAAGCATTTAGGGGGGGTGGTCAGACTTGGATCCAGGTGAAAGCGTTAGCAGAGAACCGAACCCAATGGAGACGTGGGGAATTAAGTGAAATAATAATCATAATAATAGCGCATATATAAGGGTAATGTGATGAATGCTATGTGTATACATCTATTCATGTCAACCAATCAGTAGTTAGTATGTTGTTGTGGAGTAGTGACGCGTTATCCTCACTTCAAATTAAACAAAAATATATATATATTTTGTTGTCATTTTGTTCTTGTTCCATTATTTCTGGTTAAAATCTTTCCTTTTTTCTTTCTTTATTTAATAAACCAAACTTAATTAACAGATTGAAAAATTATCACCACCTTGTTCACGTGTAAACAAGTTATCTCCTCTGTCTTCTTGTACAACACATCCGAATCATTTCAATGAGACATCATATACTACTACTAATAGTAATAATACTGAGTCTATTGATAATTGTGAATTATCCAAATTATCGAATTCATCTCAATGTTGTATGCTTGAATGGTTATTATCTGAAGAGGCTGATCTGTGCATTTTACCCCCGTCATTGTGTCAATCAAAAGATACTGATAAATTACACCACCAACAACAACCACAACAAACATCCTTGGGAATCTCTCCATTACCTTCATCAGTTTACAATGCATCAATCTCACCAATAACAACATCATTGAATAGTAACACCAGTGTTGGTGTTGGCGATGGTGGTGGTGGTGGTGGTGCAAAAACTTCACCAATAATTATAACAACAACGTCAACCGCGGCAACATCAACACCTACATCAACAGAGATTACCTGTAGTCCAAGTCATACAAAAATGAACACTACTGCTACTACTGATGTACAATTGAATCGTCAATTATCATTGAATAATACTAATAATTCATCATTAATTACAACAGCTACAATAAGCACAAATAATTCCGGTAATACAACAACTTCTACTACTACTATTACTACTACTACCACTAATCTACTATTGTCTAATTCAACAATAAATTCAACCTTTACTGAATTACGACGTTCTTCTCCTCAGCCAAGAACTGAAAGTCTATTAGTGGTAGGTTTATAGTGTTTTTTTTTATTGATTGTCCATGTTTGATCATAAGTTTCTGCATTCTATCTCCCGTGATAGCTGGTGGGTGGTGTAATAGGGTGAGTAGTATTCAGGCCAGGCTTTGGTTGTGAGTGCTGGGTAAAGAGGGGGGGGATTAATCATTCGATGTTCCAACTAGGTTGTGAAACAGCTGTATCGATTGAGTGATATGGTTGGGGCATGTATTACGCATGCATGCTCAGCCATCGATTGCCTTCTTCGACAACGGGTGATGTTAGCTGACCTACATAGGGATTGATCTGGTTGGAAAAGAGCTGACGGTGTTGTTCCTGGTGGTCAAATGAAAACACGGCTTCATCAGTCAATGAAATCTGCAACAGTTAGTTTAAGTTAGCCAGCCAGTCAGCCACGTTAGCAGGTGTAGGTAGACTGTCTAGCTCACTGGGTGGTGGTAAGAACTAATGACGTTTGGAGGCAATTAGTGATATGGCTCAAAATCGTTCTGAACGATGCAGACTTGGTCACTCTTTGTGATTTGTCATATCCAATAAAATTTTATATCTCCCTTCCATTTTACTATTCTTTTTCCCTCATTCACACTTCTGTTTATTGTCTCTCTTTTTCGAATCTGTTTTTGTCTGTCTGTCTGTTTTCAACATAGAACTTTGCACCGATGTGCACCAGTTCAAGTCGCCACACCCCCTCCTTGTAACACACAAAGCAAGAGAAGGAAGTAGAAGAAATGCATAATAGAGACAGTAAGCAGAGGGGTGAGACAAAGGAAGAGTAATAACGAAGAACAAAACAGTTTCATTGGAAATCATAAGTCACAAAGAGTGGATGCATCTGCGCCAGTCATTGAGACAGTGATGTTGAGCCATATCACCAATTGTTTCCAACCATTGGTTTCTGCCGTCCTGAGGACCCCAACCAGTCAGGATGTCTATACCTTCCTGCGTGGCTTAATCTAACTGATGTAGATCTCATTGACTAGTGCGATGTTTTGGTTTGACCGTCACTAGGTAGCTCTTTTCCAGTCTGACTCTATATCCGCTAACATTGCTCATCGATGAAGGCGATGACTGGGCATGTTTGCGTGACATATGTCGCCTAACCATCTCAGTCGATGTAGCTTCACGACTTCGTCGATTGATTTCCCCTGTTTACCTAGAACTCTGCGCCTAACCTCAATGTTGCTCACCTTATTATGCCACTTTACACGGGAAATAGAACGCAGGCACCTATGATCAAAGACAGCTAGTCTTTTCATGTCTTCCACTCTCAGTGGCCAGGTCTCACAACCATAAAGGAGGACGGAGCGGACTGATGAGCAGTACACCCGCCCTTTGATCGATAGTCGAACATCTCGTCTACGCCAGAGTCGGCGTAAACTAACAAATGCGAAACGAGCCCCTTGTATTCGTGCTGAGATTTCGTCAGAGATCAGCCCGTTGGGGCTGATGGTACTTCCCAAATAAGTGAAGCGGTCAATGTGCTCTACCACTTCACTTCCTATTTTTAAACTAGGCGTCGATGTAGTCCAGTCCTGTATCATCATCTTGCATTTGGCGGGAGCGAATCGCATGCCAAACATATATGTACGAAGACATGAATGGGTGGGAGTCCACTTTGTGACTACAGTTGTTCCAATTTATCTTGTAGATAAAATATTAATCTTGTCTTCTTTCTCTGCTGTATATCTGTTGAAATGGAACCGTTTGAAGTGATTTTGTTGTTTTTTTGGGGGGGTAATATTGATTCCAATAGGTTTGATGAATGGTAGTCTTACACTGGTTTCTCGAATGTTCTTCTTTCTCATTCCTTTGATTCGATCGATTGCATTGAGAGCAAATATCTTTTGAAGAACTTTCCTGAATATCGATCCATTTAAAAAAAAATTTGGAATATGTTTATTTCCAATTTTTCTCAAGATGTAAGAGTACTGCTGCAATGCATCTTAGCTATTTTGAATAATACTTGTATGCAATTCTTTTTAAATGTCTTACTGGGTTGTTGCTGTTGTATGTCTAATTGATTATATGAAAAAGAGAAGACGTTCAGCGAAGAGACTCTTTTCGCCGGCGAATTCATTCACATATCTAGCTGTACAATCGCATTTATATACAATTATTTGTGTGTGTGTGTGCATGAGGTTTGTCAAGTTTAGATGATTGATCGGGCAATAAAAATAATAATAATAAAATAATACCCGACAAGTAAATTCTACTTTGTCTTTTTTTCTGTCTCTTCATTAGTATTATTTTGTCTTCTTAATTGTAATATTTTGTATTTACAACTTTCTTGTTCTCTACCCCCACCCGATTTAATTTCTGCACCTCACTACCACTATTACTGACTTGATCAAGGCTCAAATTTTAGTCATTTATGTTACGTCATCCAACTTAATTGCTCAATTTCAGTTCTAATTTAAATGGCATTGTCATCATCTACCCTACTTCTCCTTAGTCTCTACCTGTAATTACCTCTGTTGCTACCCTGACCTAAGTTGAAACATTTAGTCAATTATATTACATCATCTAACTTACTAACTCAATCTTATTTTATTTGCTGTCTGATTAACCTTGTTTCTATGTTAGATCATTCTTGTATTACCTGATTAATTATTTAAACTTGACAAACCTCATGTACATATATATATATATATATATATATATACAAATAATTTATATAAAATGCGATTGTACAGCTATGTGAATGAATTCGCCGGCGAAAAGAGTCTCTTCGCTGAACGTCTTTCTTTTTTTTTTATGACTCAATGGGGAATTTTCAAGCTACTCTAATTGATTAATTTGTTCCTTTTGAGTATTGATTTTCATGCATACTTTTAACTTCTTAATTTTTTTGCTATTGAAAGTTGTTTGCTTAACTAAGATGTCTAAAAATAGAATTTTGTCCTTGGATTCGTCTTCTCGTGTGTATTCGATGTTGTTGAGTATTATTGTCTAAGTTGTTTCGTTTGATTATCACGCATGTGTACCATCCACCATAACCTTATCCAATTTCCATTTGGATTATGCTATTCCACGGCATTTTGCATAACAGCTTCTGAACTCAGTCCTGTGTGATATATGTGATATAAGTATAAAACTTGGGCACTGTGGTGGTGGTACAGTATAACTCTATTATGGATAAGATTTTTATTTTGATAAACTGTCACACAGTGTTTGTTATACAGTCAGGAATATTTACCGATGACCACGTTTCGAGCACAAACTATTGCCACTCATAATCATATCAAGTCACTACTCACCCAACCTTTTTTTTCTTTTTTTCTGATATACACAATCCTATCGATTTCTCTTTCTTATCTTTTCATATAGTTGACCGTTGAGTTAGAGAAATACGTTCAACATAAGACGTTTAATAATTAGGGGTTACTGCAGTGTATACGGATACCAGTGAATCACAATTCAAGTTTTGCTAGATTTCGTTACCTTCTTAACACGAGTTTTCTTCATATATACATATACATATAGATATTGATGCAGTAAGGAGATGATTCTAGATTGGACTACAAGTATTTTAGTATTTGAATTAATTGTATTCTCTGAGAGCTGGTTGATAAATTAGTTTGTAAAGCTTTCGTCGTCCTTCCTAGACAACATCTTCAGTGCAGGTTTTAGTGTCAAATAGATTTATTTTAAATTCTCCATAAATGATGTAATTGTATCTCTTGGCGATCACTGTCGTTAATAAGCGCAACACATTTGAAGGTATTAAATTCACCATGAGAGAAGAAGAATTAGACAACAAAATATCATTTTTTACTTGTTTTAATCAAGAAAACTAACACAGGGAATTTAGAAGCACAAGAATGCAGAAAATCAACACACACGCACACAGATCAAATACTCAACTATAGTAGTAATTACTCGCTCACACAAAAGAAACTGTGTGCAGAGGTTGTTTAAAAGAGGCCAAAACACTGCAGTACAATTGTGTTGAAGAGAATAGAGAAAAATTACTTGCTATCTTCGAAAAGAATATATATATATATATATATTCTTTCGCATCAATGCATGTGGACACAATTACGGACACTAATTTGATCAGGAGAATGTAGGAATTTTAAATATGCATCTGTGGCACAGTGGTTAGGACGGTCGCCGACCATGTACATGGTCCGGGATTCGATCCCCGGCAATACGGGCACACTCCTTTACCTCGCTAAACCAATAATGAGACTGGTAAAGAGAAGTGGTTGAGCAATGAGGCTGGCTAGCAACCCCATCCTGTAAAAATAACCAACACTGCTACAGAAACTTCAAGGCACTAACTAGGTTGACGCCTTATGTTCCACTGGGAACGTGAAGGAATAGAAAAAGAAATTTTAAATAGAGGAAATATCAAAAGTACTGCCAGAGAATTCCTAGAAGCCTTGCACTGAAGTGAATTGGCAATTAACAAACATATAATATATATCAAGTTTTAACCAGCTAATAAAAAGTAAGTCATCACATGACAATAAAGTTTAAATTCCAAGTAAATAGACATGTAGATTAACAACTGGTCACGACAGTGGTTACCAAGAGATACAACTACATCATTCATGGTCTGTGTGGTGCAAAAGTCTACACTGAAGATGTTGTCTAGATGCGGAATGATGAAAGCTTCGCAATTAGATCAACCGTCTCGTCAGAGAACACAATTAGTTCAACATCATTAATTTGAGTTACAAATCTTCCCGTGTATGAGTAGTGATAGTTTTCAATTAAAGATGGTTGATGAAGAAATTGTCGATAAATTTTTTTTTCTTCTATTCTACTTTATCATTACATGATCATTGAGCTTTTATCAAATCTATTTCATATTGATATGTGAATGAGAATACTGGGGTGGGGGTGGGTGGGTGAATAGGCAGGTGGTTTGATTCTGACTTTGGTTTTATTGTTATGCGTTTTCTTACCAGTTGAAACAACTTCCACACCTTTCTTAACTTATTTGAATCTTGGCTTAGAGAAAGGTGGTCAAATTACCGACTAATATCACTCGGATTTCCACACATTCACATCTTCGCACTATAGAGTTAGTGAGATTTGGTAAGAACTCCTTTCAACACCAATATCAAGTCAGATGGTGCTTCTATACGGGTTAGAAACTTGACCAGCGTGTCACGAAACGGATTTACAACAACCAGTTGCATCAACAGCTGCCATCGTTGACTCCATAATGTGGAGCAAATCGCCAGAAAGAATTAGAAACAGGAAACTGTGGAAATAAACTGACCAAGAGCCGTTTACTGAACAAAAATGTAAGAGAGGAAGTGGAGATGGATATGGCAAAAATTGAAGGGACCGTCGAATAACATCTTGCTGAATGCAGGCCATCGCTCGAGTGGAATGCAAATGGGAAATCGCTAGTGTGTCATCAGTGCGAGGGTGAAATGGAGGAGATCGTGCGAAGAGGAGATGAGAGATTATAGTAAATCGTCGACCTGGCTCTGTGAAGAAGATGGCCGAAAGCAGAACAAAGTGGCAATTGTTTTTTGTTGAAGCCTCAGCACAATAATAAATGAAAGATACGTAGACATTGATTTTAACCATTATTATTGGTATTATGTCACTATTATATGATGATCTATAATTAATTCCTAACATTATCGATTTAACACTCACAGCGTTCATTGTATTTTTTTTTCTTTTCTTTTCTTTTCGTCTAACAGCGTTTACTACATCCAACAAAAAGTCATTCACTTGGCTATTCAGATACAACCACCACCACTACTGCTTGTGCTTCTGCTTCTGCGACTACCGCCACCATCCATGATGGAGTAAGTTGGGCTATTTCACTAAATATTTTCATGTATTCAAATGTTGGTTTGGTAGGGATTTGAATATTAATCTGATGCCCACTAACGTGACTAGGTCTATCCAGGTGGAGGTAGTTATTATTATTACCTGGGTTGCGATGGGAAGTTATGACCCCGGTAGTAGTAGTAGTAGTAGTAGTAGTAGTAGTAGTAGTAGTAGTAGTAGTAGTAGTGGGGTGGTATAGTAGCAAGTCGGGTTTGAGGACAAATACCCTCGCCACCGATGACTAGTGATTGCACTATATCATGAATTCTTAGTAGAAGTTGAAATTCATTGGTTGATCATCGGATCGGGTCGCAGTGTTTTAAATGGCCTACGGGGATGCCTTGTAACGGGATAGTCGTTGAATGAAACCCCGGCGATGGTTATCTGCTGCTGAAGAGTCTCAAACTAGGACGAAATAGCTGCTGGGTTTCCAATGGTTTCCTAATCAATGTCAGCAGCTCATGATGAAATGTTTTGATGATTATAAGGATGCTTTCTTTGTTACTGTTTTACAATTAAATTTAGGTTTATTAGTCATTATTAGTGTAATTGTGTTAAACTGATAGGTAGATGTTTCACTAGCTTCTCAAATTTTTGCACTATACAAGCTCTGGTACTCTGTATTGATTCTAGCACTCAAATAATAATAATAATAATAATGAATGATCAAGGTTCTTACTGTTGGGTATCATTTTTCTGTTATGCACAATCACTTTGATTGCGTAAATATAACACTCAGAATGTAATAGAATAGGATACTGCTCCACTACGCCAACAACATTTTATACCGATAGCTGTCTGTTTTTCTCAAAGCCACCTACCCAGCCTGAAACAAGAATTCACACCATGATGCGTGAGCCCACAAAACTACATTCTACGCCAATAATGTATCAATCAAAATATCGCCAAAGATATGTCAGTTATCATGATCAATAAAATAGTGTACTGGGTGTTATTTTAAGTGGGTCAAATTCTGATTGGTTTACATCGTTTCAAAGTATTGATTTTGTTTGTAGGTTTTCTGATTAATTTCAAGTTAGGTTTACAAACTGATATCTCGTGGGAACTGCTGAGACATGAAGAATTACTGGAGAGTTGTAACTGTCTAGTTTATGACACTCCTCAGCAGTGTATTTTGCCCATGACTCCACTACTTACTGAAGAGTTCAAGACTGGGATGAAACACCACTTCAGTACTCCTTGCTTGTCGATGGTCCTATCCTACTGATGTCAGTGTGCATATTCATATGACTCTAGATATGAATTTCATTTTTTGATATCTGAATAACAGTCAGAATTAATTTTGTTTTGCATGTATCTCATCTTGCTTACTTTCAGCTTGAGTAATTATCTTTTCTTTTTTTTAAATCTGAAAATTGTTTTTTATTTAGACTTCACCGAAATTAGTCTATTCAACAGTATTGCCTCGACCTGTTCCAGATGCAACAGATTCTAGTTTGTCGGTAAACAACCCAGCTACTGTTAGCGATGTGATTCCTTCAAGACAATCAAACAGTCGGAAATCAGATTGTCGACTTATTACTGCTTCACTTGACAATTTATACGATACACCATTGGTAGTGAGTACTAGTAAACGATGTCGTAGTGGTCCAGCGACCAATCAGTCAATTCCTTTTTCTTCGGCTTCGTCTTTTTCATCGACATCCTTTTCATCAACTAGTCCACATATATCTCCTGGTAACAAGAGAACTCGACATGCTTCACAATTTGAAGAAATGCCGAATTCAAGAAAAGGCACTGTGATAAACGATTATAAAAGTAATAATAATAATAACAATAATAATTCTGATGTAATACCTAGTCCACCGTTTACATCATTAACACAACTTCTAATGCAAGATTTCCCGTCAATCACAGATATTATGTCCAATTCACCTGTATCACTTGGTTCACCAAAATATACACCTGCATATGGTGGACAGTATGATTATAATAATAAAACAATGAAATCATATTCACAAGAATCCATGTATGATAGTACTACTACTACTAATACTAATGCTACACCAGTTACTACTCTACGGTGTAATAACTCCTCGACGTTTGACAATAAAGAGTTCACATTTCTTCACACGGATTCATCCTGCTCTGCTGGATTATCATCAAATGAGAAATATTCAAATAATCCAGGTAAATGGGATGTGATAATTGCGCATAATTATTTATAAGCAGTAATTTAATTTGTGCTTGAAACGTTGATGATGGTGGTCGTCATGAGTGTAAATATTATTACTGTGTAATTTATCACTTGTGCACGTCAGTGGCACAACGGTTAAGACGCTCGCCGACCAATCCACATGGTTCGTGGTTCGATCTCCGGCAATACGGACACTGTCTGTCTGTCTGTCTCCAGACAGAGACAAATAAGTAATGAGACTGGTAAAAAGAAGTGGTTGGGCAATGAGGCTAGCTAGCAACCCCATCCTGTAAAAATAATCAACACTGCTACAGAAACTTCAAGCCACTAACTAGGTTGAGGCCTTATGTTCCACTGGAAACATGAAGGAAAAAAACGGTGTGATTTTATCAAAATATTTTTTTATATTTAAGTGAATTGGTTGTCAGTGTACGATGGTTGGTTGACATGAAGGAGGAGGAGGAGGAAGTGGTGATGCGAAGAGGAGATGAAAGTATGTGGAGCCAAGTGGAAAAGAGTTGGTGGAGAACTGAATGCAATGGAGACGTGTGGCTGAAGCCATATGTTCCTATAAGAACTAAAGGAAACAATAATAATAGTAATATAAGTGTAGAACTTAGTTGACTTTAGGAACCACACATCAACGTACGAGTTAGCTAGATATTTAGAAGATAGAGATATCCTGGACTGACGTGAGGAACTTAGAAGACCTGGATTTCGCGAGTGGATGATTTATGTTTGATGTCACATAAAATCGAAGAATTACAAGCGAAAACCAACAAACTAGTTGAAGAAGCAGCAAAGACAGGACTGCAGGTGAACATAAACCAGCCAACAACAACAACAACAGCAACATCCAGCGCCAATCACCATCAATGGGAGGGATTTGAAGGAGGTTACTTCATTCATTCAGTTATCTAGGGAGCATTGCCTCAACTACAGACAGTGGAACGCACGAGGATGTCAAATCGAGCGAGAATCGGGAAGGCGAGAAACACATTATTCATCAACCTGAAACAACCAATCTGGAAATCTTCGTCACTCAGCCACCATCAACAACAAAATTCGCTCGGGTTTTCAATACAAACAACGTCAAGTCAGTCAGTTCTTCTATACAAATCGGATCAGAAACTTGGCGGGCGGGTCACAAAGAATATTTCCAACAGCCTGTTGCAGACCTTTATCAACCAACACCTGTCTTCGCTGGCTCTATACTGAAGATCAGATGGCCGGGCCGGGAAGAATCACCAACAAGAAACTATGGGAACAAACAAACAAAACAAGAACCACTCGCCAACCAACAAATATGCAGGAGAAAGTGGAGACGGATTGAACACTCGCTCGCTGAGGAGATCGCTGGATGACATCGCGCGCGCGTCAGGCCATTGTTCGAGTGGAAGCAGGCCGAAAGGGAAGCGGCGAGTGGGACGTCAGTGCGAGGGTGACATGGAGGAGATCGTGTGAAGAGGAGTTGAAAGAGTATGGACTAACATGGATGTAGGTGAAAAGTAGAGCAGAAGACAGAAGTGGCAAGTGGAGACGTGGAGTTGAAGCCCTATGTTCCACCAGGAACCCAAGGGAACACTATTAATAATAATAATATTATGCCCTATTAGAGATGGGTCAAATTCTAGGATAACTATTTCTTATGAAATGAAACAGAAACTGGAGGAAATTCAATTAGAAAAAGATGAAAAAAATGATTCGTTTTGATATAACCAGTCTATATACTAATATTCTCATTAATATGGTTCTACAGGTAGTTAGGATTGAACTAAATATTGATTACGACTCACCTGAACTCAAAAGTAGGCCAAATCTCTTGCTTGGTTGATGAAATAATAATATTATGTGTTCAGTTATGTCTAATCTCCGTTGTATTCAAATTTCAAAATAAACTATATAAATAAACGAATGGGGTGGTGACGGGATCACCAACCGCCCCCCCCCTCGGTAGTAGCAGCAGATGTATTTGTGGATGGTTGGGAACTTAAGGCTCTTAGAACGTATTTAATTCTACTCCATCTAGGTTATAGTGAAGATATGTGGATGACACATTCACTACTGTGTTGAAATCCGAACATATTCGTCAATTTCTCGCATATATAAACTCAATAGTAGACGGAATTTAATTCACTTGTGAGTTAGAAGACGAACAGGGTGAGTTTGCTTTGGTAGACTGTAGAATAAAACGAAGAGAAGATGATGGGTGGCTAGATAGTAGCATTTATAGGAAGCCGACACAGTCTAGTAATTACGTAGACTTTAGTTCATCCTATGCAGAATCGGTAAAGGAAGATAGGTTTAGTTAAATGTCTATATAATCGGGCTAAGAGCCTAACTAAGTGGACTAGAAGATTTAAATATCGAAATCAAACAAATAAAGGAAATAATACCGGTGAATAACACACTACCCATCAAAATTTATTTATAAATATATGAAGAACCATAGAAAAAAAAGATTAGTAAAAGAAATGACGAAGATAATATGGAATTCAAAGCCTGACTGATAGAATTCAGTTTGCACCAAAATAAAGGACTAGACGCGTCCAGCTAGTTACTAGTGTCCAATCAAAATATCCACTACAGTCCTAAAGGAAGTCAATCTCGAGCTCGAATAGCACAATTGTAACGTCTCTGACTGCAGCCAGAACTGGGTGACGCGAGTTCGAATTTCGGAAAGGACATGAGTTCCTTCAGAGTGATTGCGGATACGCCTTGCTAGTGACTGCTGAGTACCAACTACCACAAAACCTAGATCAAGCAAGGCTTCCAGTGGCCGATTCCCTCCAACTATCTAATATCATCAAATCAATGTGCACCGTGACGGCGAGCTACCTAGTGGAATGGTGGCCACATTGCAAACCTGACTGACTGACTGAGTGGCAGAAATCAGTCTGCATCAAAGAAAGGACTAGACAGGTTGCACTAGTCACTAGTATCCAATCTAAATACCTCTCTATTAATGCCGTATGGCAAAGGAACATCAGAGGCCTTATTGGGATTCTCAATGAGGCTAGAATTAGTGTGGTATTTAAACCAACCAACCGACCAGCTCCCTCAGAGATAAACTTTGTCGACTTGAGGTCCCAATAGATTCAATTGGGAAAACTAATATAGTTTATCAGATGACATGTAATGACTATGAGGTCAACCACATAGATCAGTCAAACTAGTAGATTAGGGTCAACTGGATTATCGGAAAACAGAATTCTAGCTAAACCCAGAATGATTAACCCTGCTAAGTTAAATAATCAAGGAGAAATACTCAGGCATTGTACTGCATTCACTTGCATGTAATCACAAAATAGGTTGCTTGGGACAGGGTGAAAGTAATAAAAAGTAATATAGTTAGGTGGAGACAGTGAGAGAGAGAGAGAGAGAGACAGACAGAGGTTAATCACTGAAGCTTTGTTTATCTATTCAACACCGCACAACACATGCAATCATCGGAATCAAGCAACGCCGCCTGTACCGGAGATATGAAAAGTGGCAACAAACAAGAAGACGAAGGTGGAGAAAGAGAGAGAGAAATAAAGAAAATATGTATAAGACAAATTGTGAAGCTGTGTGACTAAACTGATACAATTATGAACAGTAAGAATTTTTACTTGAATCCTTGTCATCCATTTATTAATACTGCATCATCACTGTGTCATATTTAAAACAAACTTATCTGATATATGGGACAAAATAATTTTTATCCATAGTGGAATTATACTCTACCACAGTACATGTGTAATAGTTTTGAATGCATAATTAAGATTTTCTAGGTTTCCAATGTATTGGTATTATTATCATTATTATTATTTATACGAGTTTGACCACGGATTGATATCAGTTAGAGAAGCATTGAAAACCAGGGAGTATGGGACATCTAATTCATCCCACTAGTTTGAGGATCATTGGCAGTACTCACCCACTGGGGTTCGAACCCAGGACCTTCCAGTTACAACGCAAGCTCCTATACCATTCAGCCACTGGGACCGAATGTTATTATTATTGCTATTAATTCCTTCACGTTCCCAGAGGAACATAGGACTCCAAGCTAGAGGCTTGAAGTTTTTGTGGCAGTGGTGTTTATTTTTACAGGATGGGGTTGCTAGCCTCGTGCCCAACCTTTCCTCTTTACCAGGATTATTTCTGGCTTAGCGAGGTAAAGGAGCGCGTCTGTCCCCGGGGATCGAATCCCCGATCATATGCATGGTCGGCGAGTGTCCTAACCGCTGCGCCACCGACAGGACCGAATTTAATGATCCATGAATTCTAACTTCTACCAATTCATGATTTTAGTGCGAATGGCACCAGCCAGTATCATCGGCGGGAAATCCATCCTCATTCCCGACTGGATGGATTTCACTGGTGACGACTTTTGTTGGAATACTTATATCTTAAGTCTTATTCATTCTAAGTATGTTATCTTTCTTTATTAGTGAGATTATATGCGATATCCTTGGTGGTGGTGGTTGCGCTAAAATCGCGAATTGGTAGAAGTTAGAATTCATGGATCATTACATTCAGGTCCATTGGCTAAATGGTATAGGAGCTTGCCTTGTAACTGGAAGGCCCTGGATTCGAAACCCCTGGTGGTGGGTGTTTACTGCCGATGATTCCCACCACTAAAGCGGATACTTAGGTACTTATAGTTTGTGCAACGGCTGAGATACTAGCTGGTCGGTCGAGCTGATTGAAGCAGGTGGTTTTCCTAAAACAGGTCACTTCATCGAGCCTTGTACTTTTGAAGTTTGATTCACAAGTCAGTGAAACGGGTTCTCCGTAATCCAAATAAGTTCACTCGCTGTTTGATCCGTTCGAATTCTGTTGCTTAATGTTCGTCATAAGGTTCGGAATTAAAATTTCGATCTATATGTTCTAAATACTTATTATTTGTCGTACCTAAATATTCAGCAATATTGCTAATATGATGACTATGTCTTCAGAATAATTTCTCTATTTAGATATTTTTTTCGCTATCCCTAATAAACTTTTACCTATTATAGATTATGAATGTATTGAGAAGTCGTGGGCTTCGTCGTTAGCATCATCTACTTCTGAAAGTAAAGATAAATATTCGCCACACGTGATGACAATGATGAACAAACCAATACCGCCGTTGACTGTTATTCCTACCGCTACAACTCCTACTACTCCTACTACTACCTCCAAAAGTTCACTTCATGCACAGTCTAGTCTATGTCGACTATTACTTGATGCTCAATTAGGACCAGAGGAAATCTCTGATGCTGTTGCCAGTGTCAGGGTTCAGAACAAAATTTTACATCAATTATCCGAAATGAGTAAGTCATCATGGATATACATGGATTGATGTATTACTTTTTAAAAATTTATATAACCCCGGACATTTTGACATTTTTTTTTGATGCATACACATCGATACATCAACAGAAATAGAATTCATGAAATATTCCCATTCGAACATTAATAGACAGAAGACGCAGTAAAGTAGTTCAGCGAAGAGTCTCTTTTCGACGATGAATTCATTTTCATAGCTGTATAATCGCAAAAATATATGTATATATATGGTTATTTTGTATATGTGTGTATGTGTGTAAATTAAATTTGTCAAGCGAAAATACAATTAGTAAGTTCAGTTAAATTGGATGTTGATATAAGAGGGTAGTAACAAAGTGGTGAGTTGTCACAAACGATTATTAAAGAAGAGCTACGTAATAACATGAAAAATTTAATTGAAAGAGTTGCGCTCAGGGTGTACATGGACATGTACAAAATAAAATACGGAATAACTTAAGAGTTTTAAGTAGTTAGTCCTCCAAAGCCTCAGGATGGTCGGGGGTGGCACCCACCCCCCACCTCTTGAAATGCTCCCATATGACCGGGCGTCTTACATAGCCTCTTCTGAGGAAGTCCTACTCACTGCCTTCACCTGGCGGAGGTGTTTTTCACCGAAGTGAGAGGGTAAAAGCGGATGCCCGGCGCTCTTCACCGGGTTGACTGTCCATTGGATGACAGTCTAGGGGAGATGGCTAAACCCTGATTCCAAACCTCCAACAACTGGCGTATGAAGCTCACCGGCAGACGTATGGACGAAGAGCTTATCGGATGCCCTGGATGTCTGGCCCCATTCAAAAAGGCGTATGAACCGGACTCCGGTCACCGGCTGGCTGACAATGGATAGTGGACTCCCTACTCCACTCCTACTGCCTTGTAGGTCACACTTGGTTGTGTAAAGGCTAGAGCTGCACTCTCAAACAAAAGGCCGAGCGATTCTGGGGACATCACTCGTACCTAATTCCCATGAAACTCCATGAACTCTCTACAACATCAACCAAATTCTAGTACTGGTCCAACAACGTCGCCGTCGGTGGTGTGGCCATGTTCTGCGCCGACCAGATGACGATCTGGTCAAATCAGTTCTAAATCCCTCGCCATTTCCATCTTGGCGATGTCGCAGGGGTGGACAGCTGAAGACATGGCTTGGTACAGTCAAGGCTGATATGGAGTGCCTGGGCTGGGGCTACAAACCGTCTACGGACTCCGTCTGTGGAAGAAGAATTGGATAACCCTGTCGCAAAACCTTGCATCAGATCGCCGCGCCTGAGTAGCGATGATTCGAGATGTTCATGAAGCCGACTCATCCTCCCATAGGAGATAGCTGAAGTAAAGTAAGTAAGTTTAAGTAGTTAGAAAAAACACGCAAACAAACGGAAGTTAAGTGAAATCAGTAGAGTGGTTACCATGAATGTAAAAGTGGTTCAGTAATTTTCCTTTCTATGCATAGTTGTGGTTCTTATAACTGAATAGCTAGGGCTTTTATAATAATAAGTTGCAAGGCAAAGAAGACGGAAACTTACTGTCCTTGTCAGGTTGTTCTTCACTTTGTGGATTACTTTGAAGGAGGCGTTTGTTGTTGAGATGGAATGACCGGTGGTGACGAGATGTTTGATTATTGCACTCCTCATACGGTTACTACTTCTTTTCTGAAACTACGCTGGATAGTGTTTTTTTACCCTTTTTGACAGGAAGCGCGTTGAACGACCGATGTAGAATTGGAAAGTATACAGATGTCTAACTAAACTGTTTTTTTTCTTATTTTCTGTAAACTTATCGGTAAAATCCATCTAAATGTTCTTTAAAATGTGTCCAGAGTTGGCGGACGGGGGGCGGGGGGGCGGGAAGGCATTTAGTAGCCATCTACATTTTATGCTTGTATACCTTTTCAACTGCTTTTACTATTATTATTATTATTTATTATTGCTCCCTTGGGTTCCTGGTGGAACATAGGGCTTCAACTCCACGTCTCCACTTGCCACTTCTGTCTTCTGCTCTACTTTTCACCTACATCCATGTTAGTCCATACTCTTTCAACTCCTCTTCACACGATCTCCTCCATGTCACCCTTGCACCGACGTCCCACTCGTCGCTTCCCTTTCGGCCTGCTTCCACTCGAACAATGGCCTGACGCGCGCGCGATGTCATCCAGCGATCTCCTCAGCGAGCGAGTGTTCAATCCGTCTCCACTTTCTCCTGCATATTTGTTGGTTGGCGAGTGGTTCTTGTTTTGTTTGTTTGTTCCCATAGTTTCTTGTTGGTGATTCTTCCCGGCCCGGCCATCTGATCTTCAGTATAGAGCCAGCGAAGACAGGTGTTGGTTGATAAAGGTCTGCAACAGGCTGTTGGAAATATTCTTTGTGACCCGCCCGCCAAGTTTCTGATCCGATTTGTATAGAAGAACTGACTGACTTGACGTTGTTTGTATTGAAAACCCGAGCGAATTTTGTTGTTGATGGTGGCTGAGTGACGAAGATTTCCAGATTGGTTGTTTCAGGTTGATGAATAATGTGTTTCTCGCCTTCCCGATTCTCGCTCGATTTGACATCCTCGTGCGTTCCACTGTCTGTAGTTGAGGCAATGCTCCCTAGATAACTGAATGAATGAAGTAACCTCCTTCAAATCCCTCCCATTGATGGAGGGATATGAGAGAATTTTTTCCCCAGTAAATGTTATTGTTATTATTATTATATCCTTTAATTCCTAGAGGAACTTAGGGCTTCAGCTACGCGTCTCCATTGCCTTCTGTTTTCTGCCAACTTTTTCACTCTGCTCCATGTCTGCCCACATGCTTTCATCTCCTCCTCACATGAACTCCTCCATGTCACCTTTGGACCACCCCCACTAATTATACATTGTTAAAATTCAATTACACAGAACATTTCGCATTTGTGTTCAACTCGACCGATGGATAGTCTAGCGTTGTGACATCACCCAACGAACACCTCAGTGTGTATTCGGTCCATCTTCATTTTGCATCGGAATATTTATTAAGCTCAACAGGTTGTTTGTTGGTTTCCTTTACAGAGTTCCTCGTTGTTAATACTTTCTGTTCTTCTGGTTGTTTGAAGTTCAGTGTATGGAATCAGTGAAGGCAGATGTTGACAAAAGTCTGCAGTAGCCTGTTGGAGATGTGACAAGGGCATAAAAATTCTGACCCAGATAACAGCCACTGACTACTGATGTTGAAAATCCGAATTTTTTGTTTTGATGCTGTGGAGTGCAGTAGATTTCCAAACTGATTTTTGGAGCATGTCACGTAGTGTTAAAATAGTTTCAACTCTGTAGAAAGCATTTTCAAAGTCGATGAGGTTGTGGTAGAGACTTGTCTGCCATTCTGCTCAGCCGGTGTGGTGGTGGGGGAAGCAATCAAATGCATAAAAAAGCTTGATCTTTTCACACTTGGTCGATAATTGACATCGCACCGACGTCAATACAGCTTTCAGGAAGTCGTTATCACGTACACTTCACTTATGTCTCCTTCACATAACTAAAGCTGTTGCAATTAAATCGATTAAGCCGGAACTTTGTATTCACAAAAAGAACACGTGCAGACGCTGTTCCTACCGTGGTCAAACTTGGATTGATGATTCTTCTTATCACCAAGACTGCTTCTTCCCCTTAACCCCACTTAGTTATTTTTACTTCTTTACTTGTTATTATTATTCTTCATAATTTATGCCCTTCATGCAAACATTCTCTCAATACTATCGAGTTTTCCATTTATATTAACAGAACTTATTATTAATAGTGATATTATCTCTCTTTTCTCAGTATATATGCCTCAACCTGTTTCATTTAACATATTCGTTATCTCATTATGAACCACCTCTCATTGCAGTCTTACTATCTCCTCTTGTCTAATACAGACCACTTTGTACTAGCCACTCACTCACCTGACACCTTTTATAACCTTGAACTGACTTACTTGTCAATTTTCCTACTCCACACTCTAGAAATCTGTTATGACTAATCACCACCGTCATTGTCTCCGATTTCACAGTATTTTGAAATTGGTTTCAGCCCAAAGCACGTTTGTCATACTCAAATACGACTATTTGTTTTGACACCCCATAACTGCTAATCTGTTATTCTACGTTGAAAAAAATATATCCGCCGGATAACTGGCTATCATTATTGAAACGACAATAAATATAATCACATTTTATAATTGTAAGAAGCTGAAGAAGAGAAATCATTGAAAGGAATATTCGTCGTCCAGATTAACTTTTAATTCTACGCTGTGTTCAATCATATGAAGCTTAGAGTTTCTGTTCGATTCACATGTAATGATTTGGTCTCCCTGAATTCAACTTGTTTTGGTCAGAATTTTATTACATCCAGTGCATCTTTTAATCTCCTCAGGATGATATGAAATAGTTATTTTGATTGACATGAACAGATGCATGATCCCGCGCCAGTTTCTTTTATGTTTTCAGAGGCTTAAATCATCACTACCCTTGTTTAATAGAAAAATACCCCCTTCGTGCATCGTATGAGAAGGATTAACGAAAGCTATGAATGCGTGACCATATGCGTGAGGGTATTTAGATAGAGAGAGAAAGACCGGAGTCTATCCACGTCTTGCTGTGTTGTACCACGCTGTTTTGGGGAGTAAAGGGAAGGGGGCTTATTCTGTTTTTTATTATAGCTTGATTCCACACTGTATATTTGGTAAAAGTATGGAATTTTCAGCATTTGGTATCGCTACCCCTAATTTTGCAGGTGTGCGTCGGTGGGGTAGTGAAGTCGTCGAGCATGTTGACCGCTTCACTTATTTTGGGAAGTACCATCAGCCAATGCCAACGGGTTGATCGTTGACGAAATCTCAGCACGGATACAGAAGGCTAGTTTCGCATATGCCGGTTTACGCCGTCTCTGGCGTAGACCGGCTATCGACCAAAAGGTGTGTGTACTGCTTATCAGTCCGCTCCGTCCTCCTTTATGGCTGTGAGGGAGACGTGGCCATAGGGATTGGAAGACATGAAAAGATTAGCTGTCTTTGATCATAGGTGCCTGCGTTCTATCTCCCGTGTGAAGTGGTATAATAAGGTGAGCAATATTGAGGTTAGGCGTCGAGTTCTAGGTAAACAGGAGAAATCAGTCGACGAGGCTATGAAATTACATCGATTGAGTGAGATGGTTAGGACATGTGTTACGTATGTCTAGCCATCGCCTTCCTCGACGGGCGATGTTAGCTGACATAGTTTCAGACTGGAAAAAAGAGCTACCTAGTGGTAGTCAAACCAAAACATGGCGCCAGTCAATGAAATCCACAACAGTTAGTTTAAGACAGTCACGTAGGAAGGTGTAGACTTCCTGACTAGTTGGGGTCCTCGAGACGTTAGAAACTAATGGTTGGAAACAATTGGTGATATGGCTCAAAATCGTGTTTCTCGATGATGGAGCAGATGCATCCACTCCTTGTGAATTATGATTTCCAATGAAACTATATTGCTTTTCGTTATTACTATTCCTTCTTCTCACACCTCTGTTTACTGTCTCTATTATGCATTTCTTCTGTTGCTCTGTGTGTTCCAAGGAGGGAGTGTGGCGACTTGAACTGGTGCACATCAGTGCAAAGTTCTATGTCGACAGACAGTACGTCGGCAGGGGATTGAACTCCGGACCATGTGCCTAGTCGGTGGTGAGAGTGCTAACCGCTGTGCCAGTGATGCAATAATCCACATTGAAAAATGCCTTTCTTTTCTCTGTTAACTTTTTTTGTTACCTACTACCACTACTACTACTACGTCAAGCTAAATTTTTATATTTATTTTGTTTTTTCGAATTTTAAATAGTATGCCGTTCAACAGTTCCCTATTGACCGATAATAATCATTCATTCGAAGAATTATCCACAGTTAGTAGTAATAATAGTAGTAGTAGTACTATCAATAGTGGATTAGCAAGTCTCACTTCTATGCATAATTACCAATCAACATCTGTTCTGTCATCATCAGATTATTCTGTTATACCTCCAGTTGAATGGAATGATAATCAATTGGAACAATTAATTCTTGAGGCTAAATCGAATTCAAATGCTAGTTATTTATTATTATTAGATGGTGGAGAAGATAGATTATCATCGAGCACTATTCCTGCTACTACTTCTACTATTGATGATAATAATGATAATAATAATGCATCTTCACGTTCAGAACGACATCCATCGACTTCATCAAAAGTGATTGCTGATGAAGTAGAAATGCTGTTTGAAGTAATCCAAGAAAATGAATTAGAATCATCATCACATACAATCACTGCTGGTTGTGGTGGCGGTGGGGTGGTGATACTGGCAATTGTACATCATATATGAGTGAATCACCATGTTCAAAACGTTCACGTTTTTCATCATCTACATCAATATCTGAACATCAAACAGAGATTGGTGGCGGCAATGGCGATGGCGGTGGGGATATTGGAACTGGAACTATTATTGTTGATGGGGATAATTCTTATCGTAATGAAATTAATTGGCAAAATGATGCTAAAGCTGTTGCACGTATCTGTGAACAACTTCAACAAGGTCTAGTTTCCAACAATAATAATAGTAATAATAACAATCATAATATTACTACTATTACTACTACATCAGAATTGTCAGGATATTCTAGTAACAATAGCATTATAAACAATTCTTCGTCTACCTCTGCTACTGCTACTTCTGCTGATGCTCTGTCGGAATATGGTTCGATATCACGGAGTAATAATAATAATTACATGAAAATGTCATCTAAACACGGATATACTGAAAGTAATTCAAATTGTTATTATGTGCTTGTTGTTATTGTTGTTATTATTATGATTATAATTTTTAAACATTGGTTTTGAAATTCAAATGAACTATCGTCAAGATTTGACAGAATAGTTCTAAAATATTTGGGCGCCGAGTAAGACATTTGTTGACATTTGTAAAAAAATATTATATTTGTAAAATTTCAGCGAGATTGAAATGAGTAATTCCAAAGTTTCCTGTGTTCGGCAATCTGGTCCGAACTTCTTCAGGGAAATTGATCAAAATGAACATAACAGAGGTTTATATATAAAAAACGGGGACATCTCTTGTTTTTAAAAACTTTGTCCAATCATATGAGTCATGAAACAAGTATCAACCAGGTGTGATGTTAACTGATGCATAGGAAATCCTGATTAATAAATAAAAATGGATATGTATCACTAATTAATAATACTTGGTCAAAGTTTCTCGACTGTCTATATCTTCTTATGGAGACGTTAAGAAATGTTTTACAACTGTTTACCCACACACTCATGTAAACTCTGTTTAAAGTGTTTAACAGAGGTAGACCAATATTTGTAAGTCCGAGGTCAGATTTTGATCACAACTCTTACCTTGATACCCTGATTCATGACTCATGATTGGACAAAGTTTTTAAAAACAAGAGATGTCCCTCTTTTTATATATAAACCTCTGTTATGTTAATTTCGATTAATTTCCCTGAAGAAGTTCGGAAAGATTGCCGAACACAGAAAACGTTGGAATTACTCATTTCGATCTCGCTGAGATTTTACAAATATAATTTTTTACAAATTGATTTTGAAATATTGATTTTTGTGTGTTTCAAAATTAGAATTAGTAGGAGAATGCTTTGCAATGAGAAGCTGGTTGGTTTAGTTGCAGAGCTTTCGTAGTCCTCCCCTGCTGGACAACATCCCCCTTCAGCGCAATTTTTAGCATAAAGTGAAATGATTTAAATTTTTTGCATGAGTGGTGATAGAATCGCGTCTCCCGGTAACCATCGTTACGTATGTATTGATAATTTTCTATTGACTTGGATTTTAAACTTTCTGGTCACATGATTTACTTTTTATTAGTTGGTATATTTGATCTATATTAACGTGTTTGTTAGTGCGTCTGTGGCATAGCGGTTAGGACGCTCGCCTACCATGCACATGGTCCGGGGTTCGATCCCCGGCCGACGCACTCCTTTACCTCGCTAAGCCAGAAATAATGCTGGTAAGGAGGAAAGGTTGGGCATGAGGGTAGCAACCCCATCCTGTAAAATGAAGACTGCTACAGAAACTTCAGGTCACTAGCTTGAAGCCCTATGTTCCACTGGGAACGTGAAGGAAAGAAAAGAAAACGTGTTTGTTAATCGCTGACTGATTCGTTTGGGTACCAGGCTTCTAGGAATTCCCTGACTGCACTTTTTGTGTTTCCTCTGTCTAAGATTTCGACAATATTCCAATCAAACTGATGTCCATAATTGTCTAGATACATTGATATGAAAGAATATATATATATCGTGTCTTTTCACGGCTGATTTGTGTTCCTGGATTCTGATTTGAAGGGGATGCCCACTGTGGCTGATGTAACGCTTGTTACAGTTCATAGAATTTATTTTGTAAATGGTATTAATTTGATCTCCTTTTTATGTTGGTGAATGCTTGCTAGCCAACCGGCCAACCACCTACGAGTTCCTGACACGACCTCCTAACTGACGCACCGCTAAAACTCGTTTGGTTTGATAATAATAAGACGTCAATAAGCCTCATCACTATTATCGTGCAGAATCTCTTAGCTTTAAGTCCTCTACATTCTTTTTTTGAAATGCAAGGAACAGTTGAAGAAATGAATGTATTCGATGAGTGTTGTTAAAAACAGCCAGAGTCAAGATCTATCAAAAGTACTGACCTTCAAGAATCAATCAGATGTAGGCAATGCTATGAAAGCAAGTCAAGCTTTCATTACTCTCAAGTCTGTGTGGAGGTCAAGAGCATGAAAAATAAGATGCAGATTTTCAACTCCAATGTGAAGTCAGTTAGTGCTACTCACTGTATACGGATCAGAGACTTGGCGCCGTGCCATGTCACCAAGGGCATTTCAAACAAACTACAGACTTTCATCAACAACTGTCTTCGCTCAGTACTTCGCTGAAGATAAGAAAAGGTCAGGGATCTCTGGGAACGAGCCAACCAGGAACCAATCGTGCAACAAATAAGCGGGAAGAAATGGAGGTGGATTGGCTGGCCATACTGTGAGAAAATAAACCATTACTCGAGTGGAAACCGAACAGGAAGTGCCAAGTTGGTCGTCGTTGCGAGGGTGACATGGAGGAGACGGTCATGTGAAGAGGATGTCTGTCTGTTTTCGACATAGAACTTTGCACAAATGTGCGGAAGTTCAAGTCGCCACATTCCGTGTAGCACGCGAAGCAAGAGAAGAAAGTACAAGAAAAGCATAATAGAAACAGTGAGCAGAGGTGTGAGACAAAGGAGTAATAAAGAAATACAAAACAGTTTCATTGAAGATCATAAGTCACAGGGAGTGGATGCATCTGCGCCACTGAGAACGATTTTGAGCCATGTCACCAATTGTTTCCAACCATAGATTTTTACCGTCCCGAGGACCCCAGCCTGGAAGTCTACACCTTCCTACGTGGCTTAGACCAACTGTTGTGGATTTCATTGACTGATGCCAAGTTTTTGTTTGACCGCCGCTAGCTTTTTTCCAGCCTGACCCTATATCCGCTAACATTGCTCGTCGAGGGAGGCGATGACTTGGCATACGTAACACATGTCCTAACCATCTCAGTCTTTGTAGCTTCACGACTTCGTCGATTGATTTCCCCTGTTTACCTAGAACTCTACGCCTAACCTCAATGTTGCTCACCTTATTATGCCACTTTACACGGGAAATAGAACGCAGGCACCTATGATCAAAGACAGCTAGTCTTTTCATGTCTTCCACTCTCAGTGGCCAGGTCTCACAACCATAAAGGAGGACGGAGCGGACTGATGAGCAGTACACCCGCCCTTTGGTCGATAGTCGAACATCTCGTCTACGCCAGAGTCGGCGTAAACTAACAAATGCGAAACGAGCCCCTTGTATTCGTGCTGAGATTTCGTCAGAGATCAGCCCGTTGGGGCTGATGGTACTTCCCAAATAAGTGAAGCGGTCAACGTGCTCTACCACTTCACTTCCTATTTTTAAACTAGGCGTCGATGTAGTCCAGTCCTGTAACATCATCTTGCATTTGGCGGGAGCGAATCGCATGCCAAACATTCGTAGATTGCGGCTCAAGGTGTTTAGAAGACTCTGCATTTCGTCAGCGTCTTCGCCTAGAAGGACTATATCGTCTGCATATTCCAAGTCAACGAGATTATTCCCGGTAGCAAGTCAATCCCTGAGTCGCTGAAGTCACCTAGGGTTAAGTCCATTAACACATCTATGATGAAGTTGAATAGAAAAGGAGATAATGGGCATCCTTGACGGACACCACTGGTCGTCATCAGTTCAGATGACAGCTCGCCGTAAGCCCTCACCTGGCTGTATGAGTACGAGTAGAGTGCCTTAATCAGTGCAATATATTTTCTTGGAATTCCCTTTACAGCCAAGCATCTCCAGAGAACTTCCCGATCGACAGAGTCGAATGCTGCCTTTAGGTCAAGAAATATAATGACTGTTGGACGCCGGTAGGAATGCCTATGTTCTAGAATCTGTCGGAGGGTGAAGATATGATCAATACACCCTCTTCCTGGTCTAAAGCCTGCCTGGCTCTCTCGTGTTTGTGCTTCCCGAGCACCACTCAGTCTACGCATGATTATTGAGCCTAAGACTTTAGATACTATATTAGTCAAGCTAATCCCTCTGTGATTATCACAGGAAGACTTGTCTCCCTTCTTGTATATGGGGATAATCAGTGACTTACACCAACCCGATGGGACTTCTTCTGATTCCCAGACGCTGCCTAGTACCTCAGTTAATCCGGACAGTAAGCTGTCTCCACCGTACTTAAATACCTCTGGAGTCATTCCATCAGGTCCCGCTGCTTTGCCTAGTTTCAGATTGGTGACAGCTTTAGTAACCTCAGTTAGTGACGGAGGACCTGTGTCTATATCCCATTCAGGGAGGTGTTGGATGCTCGGAAGGTTGAGCGTGGCTGTGGGCAAATTAAACTGCTCCTCATAATGCTCTTTCCAACGATCCAGTCGTCTATCCTGGAGCTAATTATAGTGCCATTTTTTTCCGAGATTGTCTCACTAATGATTTGTCTTCTCCCACCCGTTTCCCTGATGAGTCCAAAGAGTTGCCTGGTGTTGCCTATCCTCAAAGCTTTCTCCATCTCTTTGGCTTTTGTCGCCCACCACTGTTCACGGTCCTTGCGGAGACTTTTCGTAAGTTTCCTCTTGTGCAGCTTTCGCTCCTCATTGAATTCGGAGCTCGCCGGAATAAGTCTTCTAGCATCTATCAGTTCGGATGAGGCGGTGGAGATCCAGTGGTTTTTACTCACCTTTGGGTTTACCTTATTCACAGCTTTTACAGCTGTATCTATGGCTGCCTGGATATTTTTCCAAGCTTCTTCAGGGTGAGCACAGCTGTCGAACACAGATATGTGTTTAGCTAGTTCTTCCTGAAATACGGATTTAGTTTCCTGATCGAGCTGGGGACGTGATGGTTTTACCGCCAGCTGTTTCCTACGTCCGTTCAGTCGTAAGCACACCCGAGCGCGGACCAGTGCATGGTCGGTATCTACGCACGTGTTCCAGAAGGAGCGACAATCTCCTACCGACCCACGCCAACGATAGCTTATTGCTATGTGGTCTATTTGTGTCCAGCGTTGGTTTGATGAAGGGGGTCTCCAAGTCAAACAGTGTCTCTCCTTGTGTTTAAAGTTAGTGCTTACAAGAAACAAATGATTATCAGAGCAGAACTGTAGGAGACGGTCACCGTTGTCGGTTCGCTGGCACGGAACTCCATAGGTGCCACCGACATCCTTCTCAGATTGACACAATTTCCCTACTTGAGCGTTAAAGTCACCAGCTAGAACGACTATGTCTGAGCGTTTAGCCTTTCCACCAAACTAGACAGCTTTTGGTAGAACTCATCCTTCGTTTCATCTGAACTGCAGTCAGTGGGGGCGTAGGCGGAGATTACGAAAAGGCATCGGCGAGTAGTGCAGTCCTTCCTCCTTCTTACTGATCCGTTCAGGCGGACAGCACACATTCGGCTATCTACCGGGATCCAGTCAAGCAATGTCTTTTCTGCCCTAGTACTCAAAGCTATCCCTACGCCAGCTAATCCTCGTGAACTAGCTGTGGCATCTCCTGACACCCTCAAGGTGAATTTTGCAGATTCAACCTGTTGGCCAGGTGGGGTTAGGTGAATAACCACACTTGGGTCTTGTATGCGTGTTTCTGAAACACAGCATACATCAATGGCTCGTGATGCCAGGGTCTTGGCTAGTGATGCTTGTTGTCCTATTTGGCAAAGTGTCCTAACATTAAGAGCTCCTATATGAAATTGGTGGCGCGGCTTTAAGAGGCTGTCGGTGGTGGTTTTTTGGCTTCCATCGTTTTTAGTGGACGCAGAGTGGAGAGGAAGTGGAGAGCTATCAAGTCGAGGAGTTGCATCAGTGGAAGGAAGGCAAGATGATAGAGATGAAGATGAAGACAAAGATGAGTGAGTAATAGAGAGGTTTCGTGTGCATTTCGGATTGTGAGGGCGATTGTTACTTCCCGGCTGCCCACACCGTGGAAGTTGGTTGCGTGACCGCAGAGCCCAGGGGACAACTGCTTGAGGCCGGTCACACGCGGCCTGTTTTTGTTTGTTCTTTTTTGTTTGGTGTGTCTCAGTAGCAGATTTATCACTCCCGCCCTGTGACACGGCAGCAGGAAGCGCGGTCGTTGTTAATCCGGGCCACGGCCGATCCGGCATGAAATTTTGTAATTTTGTATTGGACATGATGTTGGATTGGGTAGCTGCTTTTTGTTTAACCGCTATCCAAACAACCTGCCTGGCATGGTAGAACCTCAAGAGACATAAGTCTCAGCCAGTATAGCTTGATTAGGTCATTGCGGTGTTCAAGCCCGACCACCACGTCAAGGTAGCAGCTTTCGGTCGGGATGTGAAGAGGATATTGAAGCATGTGGTCAGACGTGGAGCCTGGTGATATGAACGTTGATAGGGAGCGACTGAGCGCAGTGGAGACGTTTAGCTGAAACCCTATGTTCCTCTGGAAACTAAAGGAAACAATAATACAATAATAATGAAAGATAACTCTGAATCAAATGATACCTACGTTTTATAGATTTAGCGAGGGTAGATGTATTATTCTATATGTTCTCTAGGTACTTTTTCCATAGACCTATACTGTTTGGTAGGATTAGTGTTAAAGTTCAGATTACAGTCAGAGTTAGGAGTATAGGTTGAAGAAAACTCAGAAATATCAATGAATCTCAAAGTACTGTGATCTAAAGTCACCACATCTATCTCACATGGTCTAATCTCTCTATAAAGGTTATCCGTGTATTGACTAGAGGACATTCCTACACCGCGACATAAGCGACAATTATCCGGTGTAACACCAAGCTTGCAATACTTGTTTACATTTTTATAATGTATTTTTCAACGTTGATACCACTTTGTTTTTACATCTGTATTCTTCTGATTGGTTGCTCAAGGTCACTGTGATTTCGCCTATGAGATAGATATGTAGTTTAACTTTGCAATGTGATGCACAGTTTCAATGATGACACTTTATACTTCGCTCATGAATCAAAACCCGATCCAATAGCCAACAGATGAATTCTAACTTCGGTCAATTCACGACAATCTGTTGTAATTATTTTGGGAATTTTATCCTGTGTAAATCGTTTCCCCTCCACCCTCCCCTCCGCCCGCTTGCTATTCGAAGTATATTGTCAGTTTTCTGTTTAACTAAAATGATGATTTGGTTCACAAGAATCTGGCACTAATTTCCACTCATTCCCCCTGCCTTGCTTGCTAGTAGGAACGTGTGCGGTGGCCTGAAGCTCTTGTTTTCATCCTCGGTGGTGATATAGGGTTGCTATGCATTACACTCAGTTTTCTCTCTTTTGTGGGTTTATTACCAAGGACGAATGAACTAACTAGCTAACTCTAGACGAGCTCTTCTAGGCAGTCTGTCGTCAGAGAGTCGACTCCGTACCTCTAGCGATTATTCTGTCTTTAAACCAACGGTTTGTGTGTATTGGAGCTTAAAGCATAAGGCTTCAAGCTTTTTGTGAGTTCTGAAGTTTCAGTAGCAGTGCTTTTATTTTTGCATAATGGAGATGCTAGTCTCACACCTATCTTCCCACCTCTTCCTCGGGCTCACCAACCAAGCTAATAAGCTGGGGGTTAAGAATGCATCGATGATCGAGGATTGACCTCCGAACCATATGAGGTGTGACTGGCAAGGTAAATCAAGAATTGAAGGAAGTTAGAATTCATGGGCTGACGCGACTGGTCATTGAATCGGTTCCCAATGGCTGAATGTTATACGACCTTGCCTTGTAATCGCGTTCGAACTCCAGTGGGTGGGTATTGCCGATGATCTCCAGAGCTGGTTTTCTCAATGGTTCTCTAAATGATATCAATCCGTAATCAACTCGTAAAGACAAACCCCTCATCCTTACAAACCAACTCTTGAACATGTAATCATTTATGTGATAAGAGCACTTTATTCTCTGAGTGATTGTGATGAATAGTAATAAAAGTATTGATTTTTTTTTTTAATGAAGCATATTCTGATACCTTATTCTTCTCTCTTTCTCTCTGTGTGTGTATGATCGTCTTTTCTCCTATCAATTTCTCAACTGACACTTTGTTTCGATCGTTCTTATTAAATCATTTTTATTTATTTAATCTGATTTAATTGTTCTATTCACCGGTTATTGTCTTTAAGTGCGTTTCTTTAAAATATACTATACATATATTAGTATTATTGTTGAACAGGTCTTCTATAATAATGCACTTTGTTATACTTGATTTGCTTGATTTTTTTGCCTTTTTAGTACACATCAAATTTCATACAAGTCCATTCACTTTTGTTGCTATGCCGTCTTAAGTGGTATATATATATATATATATATAACTACTTATTTCAACTCATCAGTAGTCTGTACTGGGGTCTGAGTAGTCTCGTTTCCAAATCAACATTGTTGTGAAATATTGTCTCCTCAAAATATGTAAAGTATGACAACTTGATTTAATGATATTATTACGTGTGTGCTACTGATAAGGTTTATCAGTAGTACTTTAAAGAGAAATTCATGTCAGCATTTTAAAAAAACATCAAATTTCTGCTGATTCACTTTTCTGAAGTGAGTCATAACCAATTACATACAACTGCTGATGAACTGAACTTGCCTCGAAACGAGTGTGGTGAGAGATGGTTGCCAGCCGAAAATTGGTAGACAGTAATTTACGTCAACGTCTACGTCCCCAATATTGGTCGTGAGAAAAATAAGAACCAAGACTGATTCAACGACCAACCACAGAAGAATTGGTTTGCGTAGGTGGATACAATTTGCAGATAGATAATCTGAACTTCAAGAAACGGTCACAGAGAGATGAAAGATTAACGCTCAACGAGAAATCACCAATCAGAGGATTGTGTTTTTCTGCTAACAATAATCTATGATAATGTATTTGAAAATCTATAAATATATGTTGATTTCTTAAATAAACCATCTGTTCCCTGGCCCTTGTCTTCTGTTGTTACATTTGGTGTCGCTGCCTACTGACAAATGGAAAGCCTATGCCCTGCAGCTTTTGATGGAGACTATGGATCTTCGGGTAGGACTTCGAGGCTTCGAAGAAGTTGAGTGGCGTTCAAGATCTGTCAGTGATGAGGCTGTTACTTGACACGCTTCTGAGATGTCGGGAGAAAGCAGGATATGAAAGTGTAAGGCGAAATACCGACGAATGTGCGACACGGTCGGTCAGAGAAACACTTTCCAAAGTGGGAGGGACCACACAATCGCAATGGTAAACAAAGAGAAACAGGTGAACATCAGCGAGTGTCGAGATTCCAGACAACAAGACAAACGAACAAAGCCCCTAGAACCAAGAAGACCGAACCAACTTCAATCGTAAGTCTTTGACGGAGGGACGAGTGTGGTAAGAGCTGGCTGCTAGCCAAATGGGTAGACAGTAATTTACGTCAATCTTTACGTCCCCAATATTGGTCGGGAGGAAAATATAAAAACAAAGATTCACTCAACAACCAATCATACCAGACTTTGAGTAGGCGGTTACAATTTGCAGATAGATAATCTGAACTTCAAGAAACGGCCACAAAGCGATGAAAGATTAACGTTCAACGAGAAACCACCAATGAGAAACTGTGTTTTTCTGCTAATAACAATAATCTTAAGTAATGTACATGAAAATCCATAAATATGTGTTGATTTTGAAAATAAACGATCTGTTTCCTGGCCCTTGTCTTCTCCCATCACAAGAGTGAAACAGTTCTTTTTGTGTTTTCGGATCACTTGAATCTGGCTAGCAAACACTATACTGACTGTGGATAATTTGAGTGATGTACATACTACTCATCTGAACCAATTATTAATATATTTAGTTTGACGGATGTTATAATTTTTTCAAAAAGAAAATTCGAATTTCTATCATTGCTTCCTTTTCATTATTATTATTATTTTTTTTATTATTATTATTATTATTATTATTGTCAGTATCAACCCGCTACTGGTGACTACTCGTACAACTTGGTCAAGTTTTCCACCTCAAACGACGAGTACAGTTCAACGAAGATTCAGCGGTGGCTCTAGTGGTGGTGGCGGTGTCAATAAAGCGGCTGTAGCAGCTGCTTTAGCCAGTCAACAAGCAGCAGCAAGTCAAAGGAATCAATTGACAAATCAACGTCTATTAGCTGAACAACGTAAAGTGAGTTGTATTCAACTTGAAGATATATGTATAAATATTTGACGTTATTATTTTTTGAAAAACTGATCACTACTTGAATAAGGAGAATATACTTTTTTAATAATTTCGTCATCAGATTCAGTCGTTATCTGTCCATAATAATTTTTTTTGTGTTCTGTTCCTCTGGGTTCCGAGATGAACATAGAGCTTCAACAACCCATCTTTTTTTTCACATTCCCAGTGGAACATAGGGCTTCAAGTTTCTGTAGCGCAGTTGGTTTTTACGGATTGGGGTTGCTAGACTCATGCCCAACCTTTCATCTTCACCAGTTTTTACTTCCGGCTGATTGAAGTAAAGGAGTGTGCCGGCCAGGTATCGAACCTCGGACCATGTGCATGGTCGGCGAGCGTCTTAACCGCTATACCATCGACGTACACAATCCATCTCTGATTTCTTCTATTTTCTGTCACACCATCTCCTCCATATCAAACTCGCACTGACGACCCACTCGTCACTTTCCACTGGGGTTCTACTCGACCAATGACCTGCATTGAGCGCGATGTCATTCGGCAGCCTCCTCAATGTATGCCTGATCGATCCATCTCCATTTTCTCCTGCATATGTGTTGATCAATCGGCTCTTGGTTGGTTAGTTGGTTTGTACCCAACCAGAGTTTCTTGTTGCTAACGGTTTCTGGCCGTTTGATCTTCAGTATGGAGCCAGTCAGTGAAGGTGGCAGCTGTTGATGAAAGTCTGCAACAGGCTATTCGAGATGCTTTTCGTGATACTCTGGTCAAGTTTCTGACCGGAATAGGAGAACTGACCGAGTTGACGTTGATTGGTGTTAAGAGTCCGAATTTTGTTTCTTATGCTGACTGAATGCGGTGTAGAAGATTTCCAAACTAGTTTCAAGTTGATAGAGGCATATCTTTTCTTTCCGATTTTGGTCAGCTTTGATATCTATATCCGTTGCGCCTGTAGTTGAAGAGATGCTTCCTAGCCGGATAAGTGAAGGAAGTAACCTCTGTTAAATCTCTCCCATTGATGGTGATTGGTACCGGTTGTGATTGTTGTTGTTGCTGTTGCTGTCGGTTAATTTGCTATCTTCATCACCTTCGTCTTCTCTATATTCATTCAGCCTAAGTCTTGTCCACCAGTTCAACGCAATTAGGAATATCGTTCTTGTCTTACTCCTCTCTTCACTCCAAAGCCTCCGCTGAGTTTTCCGTTGTGGATCATTTGACACGTGCCATTGTGATATAGCTAACTGTTGGCTCAGGTTGATAAAGACTTAGTCACTGCACTCCAAATTACTTCTCGGTCAGTGCTGTCTCTCGAAGCCGTTGTCTCCTCAAAGTGAATGAAGTTAAGGTAGAGAGAGGTTTGACTACCATTCTATGCTTTCTTTGGATATCATCATGTCTTTTGATAGATAGTTTGTGTTCATGTACACAAACACTAAGGGAAGGGAATGTCCACTTCGGTCGATGTGGTATTTTTCTAATTCGTTGCAACCTATTTTGTAGATGATGTTCGTTTTGTCTTCTTTCACTGTCGAGTCTGTTGACTGACATAGAGCCAGCTGAGTGAAGTGATTTTGGTTACAGGATTTCATCATGAGCTGACATCACTTTGAGGATCATTGGAAAACCACCGGGGAGTACTGGACAGCCGTTTCGTCAGCCTAGTTTGGGACTCTTCATCAGTACGCACCCGCCGCGAGGGTTTGAGTTCAGGACCTTCTGGTTACAAGGCGAATTCGTAGACCATTAAGCCACTGGGACCCGATCCAATGGTCCATGAATTCTAACCACTAGCCAATGTCTTCAGCGAGTACTTGTCCTCACAACCGACCTGCTGCACCCTACTGGTCACGACTTTTCACTAAAATTTCAGATAACTACCTACCTGAATAGGGTAAGTCGCCAGTGAGCATCTCCCTGATATTCAAGTATTGGTTTGTAGGGATTTGATTGATTGGTTTACAGGATTTCATCAATCCTAAACTAGGCCGAAACAGCTGTCCAGTACGCTAATGCTGGTTTTCCAATGGTTCTCTAACCAATGTGAGCTCATGATGAAATCATGTAACCAATCAATCAAATCCCTACAAAAAAATACTTGAATTGATTTTAGTTTGAAGAGTCTTCCATTCTTTTGGAAAACGTCCATGAGACATCTTTCTTCAATTTTCCTTAAGATGGGAGTGGTGCAATGACTAGGGCAGTAAAATCTTCTCAACTATAGACCAATTCAGCGCAGAGAAAAAACACACACTGCAAATCTTCTCCATCATATGTACAATTTGTTGATTTTAGCTTTAATTCTCCAATATTTCTCTTATCCCATTGTCATTCTCTTCTTTTACGTCTCTTTTCTAAACAGCGTCTTATACAACATCAATTATATAATCAAGTAGCTGTATACTCATTGAATTCACCATCAAATAATTATAATTCACCTTATGAAGGTGGTGGTGGTACTGGTAACATTGATCCGTATCATCAAGGGAATACCTTCATATTGAATGAAAATATCCCCCATGGAATTGAAAGTATACCGGTGATTGTTACTGCTGTGCCTGTTGCGTCTAATACAATAACGAATATTACTACTGCGACTACTGTTACTCCTCCACTATCTTATGTTATACCTAGTCATAAATCAATAACACGAAGAAGAAGATCATTGTGTTTAGATGGAAGCGGATGCGGAGGAGGTGGTGGAGGTGGACAGAATTTCAACTCAGGTGTATTAAGCTTAAATGCGACAACAGTGCATTCCTCTACTAATTCAGCGTCAATTAGTACAGCATCAAAGATATCTGGTTTCTATCATCCACATCATCATCGGCCAGAAGATTTATCACGATGTTTAAAAGAAGTTGGTCCCAATGTTCGCGTTGAAGTGAGTTGTGTGCGACTATTATTATTATTTAACACATATGATTCGATTTATGTGCGTGACGTTGGGGGTCAGTGGCTCAATATACCGGTAGACATTCAAGAGAGGGATCGGGTTGCGATTATTCCGGTCAACGTGCAAACGTGGTCGTTTCTTGAAGTTCAGATCATCTATCTACGAATTGTATCCACCTACGCAAACCAAGTCTTCTGTGGTTGGTCGTTGAATCAGTCTTGGTTCTTATTTTTCTCACGACCAATATTGGGGACGTAGACATTGACGTTAATTACTGTACCAGTTTTTGGCTAGCAGGCAGCTCACAGTACAAACGAAGTGTTTGTGATTTATTGGTTGTTTGACTATTTTGACTACAGTACGCCGTCTCTATACACGATACACACTATAACCAAATTGATCACTTGATTATATTCCCCCATATTGAAGTAGACTGCGATGACAGTGAGAGCAACCACTTATTCTATGGTCAACCAAAGATACATATACCCACAGTTCCATTCAGACCGGTAGTAGTAGATTTCATCAACTCACCGACATTACAACCTCTCTTTGAATACTTATTTTTTTTTTGATTTACAGCTTGATTCCACACTGTATTTTTGGTACAAGTATGGAATTTTCGGCATGGATATCGGTAGCCCAAATTTTGCAGGCCGACCATAGATATCAGGTGTGCGCCGGCGTGGGCTCGAACCCCAGACCATGTGCATGGTCGGCGAGAGTCCTAACCACTGTGCCACCGACGCACTTGATACATCTTAATGGAGTTGTATCTTTGAAGGATGGTGTCTAGGCGCACTTTCAATATGCAATCAATCCACCAAAAGGGGGTGTTGGTCCTAACTCCACATCACTCTATCATCTGCAAAGATTTGGACATTATGATCCACAGAGAGAGGTGGAGTAGGTAGTGGTAGGATTACACTAGCCTCTCCACCCCTCTCTCTCTGTCTCTCTATGTGTGCCTCTCCTGTCACACTAATTGATGAAGCTTCATCTGCAACTGAATGGAATTGTGTAAGTGTGGTTGTTGGGTGACATTTCCTTCATCATGCATCTTGACAATTTATGTCTCATTTCATTATTATTATTATTATTATTTTTATTTGTTACACTTTTCTTTCCCGTCTAGTTATCATGCAAGATTCCTGTTAATGAGAATCATCATCATTCAAGCAATATGAATAAAATGCCTCATGTCTATTCAGCAACGAGCATCGACAGTAATAATAATAATAGTAATAATTGTACTATCAGCATTGGTAATGCAACGAAAATGCTACAACAATCCTCTAAATCCTTACAACAACACCACCAACAGCCACGGAACCATCATTTAGGACCTACTATTACTTCTACTACTACTACTACTCCTGGATCAATATTTCATAATCCTGATCCTATTATCCAATCATCATCAAGTAATGCTAATAATCCTAATTCATCAAGTAAAGGACATCCATCTACATCAGTGTATTGTACACCATCGACAGTTGTTGTTCTTGTACCGTCTGCTGCCGGTGCTGGTTCCTCCATGAACAGTTTAAGAATGACATCAAGAAATCAAATATCACCTGAAAATCAACAACATTTATCAATTGTGGATAATAGGTAATATTATTATTTATTATTATTATCTATTATTACTATTATTTTATTATTATTATTATCTATAAATATGGGTTGACTTCCTAAATAAACCATCTGTTCCCTGGCCCTTGTCTTCTGTTGTTACATTTGGTGTCGCTGCCTACTGACAAATGGAAAGCCTATGCCCTGCAGCTTTTGATGGAGACTATGGATCTTCGGGTAGGACTTCGAGGCTTCGGAGAAGTTGAGTGGCGTTCAAGATCTGTCAGTGATGAGGCTGTTACTTGACACGCTTCTGAGATGTCGGGAGAAAGCAGGATATGAAAGTGTAAGGCAAAATACCGACGAATGTGCGACACGGTCGGTCAGATAAACACTTTCCAAAGTGGGAGGGACCACACAATCGCAATGGTAAACAAAGAGAAACAGGTGAACATCAGCGAGTGTCGAGATTCCAGACAACAAGACAAACAAACAAAGCCCAGTTTGGGACTCTGATTCAACAACCAACCATAGAAGACTTTGCTTAGGCGTGTACAGTTAGCATATAGATGATCTGAACTTCAAGAAACAGCCACAACAAAGAGATGAAAGATTAACTTTCAGTGAGAAGCAATCAATCAGAATACTGTGTTTTTCTGTTAACAATAATCTATAATAATGTACATGAAAATCTATAAATATGTGTTGATTTCCTAAATAAACGACCTGTTGCTGTTTGTTTACTCTTCGGTTGCTTTTCTTGTTGTTTATTTTTGTTATTGTAGCCGTTTAGTTAAAGCTGAACTACGACAAGCATTGGTTGGTCGACAAGTTATCTATCAGAATAGCATTAACAACAACAACAATACCACAACTAATAATAATAATGTTATTGATAATAATCGCAGGGGATATCAATGCTCTCAGGTATTACTACCACCTTCTAATCAATTCACTGATTCTCTTCCTTCTTCAATGATGAATATGTATCATACTACTAGTTGTTATACTTCTTCATCAGTACTTGGAGTTGATCAATTTTCTAATTCATCTATATTGCCTTGTTCCACGACGACTATGGGGACGACGTCGACAATACATCGTACACCGCCTCCTCCTCCTCCTACTACTACTATGACTCGTGGAGTTATCCCCTCAACCATGAGGGGGTATGATCATCATAATCCTAATCAAATTGTATCCGGTGTACAAAATTCTATGAGCAATGTTAATAATAATAATAATAATAACAATTGTCAACAATGGTCACCAACTGTATTACCTCAATCTGTTTATATTCGTCAGGGTTCTTTAAATTTAGATATTAATACTACTAACAGTAATAATAATAATAGTAGTAACAACAATATATCCACCTCATATAATGTTTATCCTTCTCAGTCAATTCATTTAATTCATGATGATAATGGTGGAGGTTATACTTCTCAGGGTTTTTCTACTATTGATAAACACACCACCAACACCACCATCATCATCAACAACAACAACAGCACAATGAAAACAAAAGTACAATAGATCCATTCGATTTTCTTAATTACAATAGTAATAATAATAATTCATCATATTTCAATAATACATTCAGCTATCCAAGTGTTCATCCATTAACACCGTCCAGTTTATCACCGATCAGTGTATCAGCGAATACATCACCGTGTTCTAGTACAACCTCCCAGACAGCTTTATTGAAATCACCAATTTGTCAGCCTGGAGGAGGTGGAGGTGGAGAATTTCTACACACCTCTGAATCATCAATATCATCATCCTCTTTCATAATGAATAATCATCTTAGTAATAATAACAGTAATTATTATTATGAGTCGAATCCTTTGGGTGTATCATACGATGCGGTCGCCACCACCATCGCCGCGACCTCCTCCTCCTGTTATTTGTCTAATAATCATTCAAATTATACTTCTACTACTACTGCTCCTCTTCCGACCACTACTATTACTGCAACACCTGTTATGCCTAAAAGTTCCTCATCATCATCCTCATTATCAGTTGCTGCTTCAACGAATTCAACAACACTGGTGTATAATTTAACTAGAGATCCATTAGATTTCCAATTGTCCACATCAACATCGTTAGGAGTTGTTAATCATCATTTGGAGACAATGATGTTACAATCAGATTTCAGAAATCATCAACAACAACAGCAGCAACAACAAGAAGAGAATCTATTACCGGATGATCTTATTAATGATGTATTTGATCGTAAGTTTGTGTATAATTCTTCTTCTTTCTATTTATTTTATTACTATTGCTTCGTTTTATTCCTAGAGGAACATTGGGCTTCAGCCGCGCGTCTCCATTACGTTCGGTCCTCTGCCAACGTTTTCACCTGGCTACAAGTCTGCCCACACGTTTTCATCTCCTCTTCACATGATCTCCAAGTCACCCTTGCACTGACGACCAACTCGCCGCTTCCCTTTCGGGTTCCACTCGAGCAACGGCTTGTTTAGTGATGTCACTTGATGGTTTGTTTTCTCAGATTATGGCCAGCCAATCGACCTCCATTTCTTCCTGCATATTCGTTGCACAATCGGTTCCTGCTGGGTTGGTTCGCTCACTGCCAGAGATCCCTGTTGGTGATCTTTTCTGGCTGGCCATCTAATCTAGAACGGTATCAAGCGAAGACAGCTAGCTGTTGATGAATGTCGGTAGTTTGTTTGAGGTGCTCTTTGTGACGCGCTGGCTAAGTCTCTGATCCGTATAGTGAGTAGCACTGACTGGCTTTATAATGGAGTTGAAAATCCGGATCTTATTTTTGATGGTGAGTGCTGTTGATCTCCACACAGACTTGAGAGTAATGAAATCTTGTCTTGCTTTCCCGATTCTGGCTTTGATATCCTCATCAGTTCCGCCTGTAGTTGAAACGATGTTTCCCAGGTATGTAAGGGACGTTGTTTCTTTCAGGTTCCTCCCATTTATGCTGACTAATTGTTGTCTGTTGCTGTTGGCCAGGAATCTTTATCACCTCTGTTTTATCTATGTTCACTTGATGTCCTATCTTTGATGCTCATCGCCAACTTGTTGCTTTTCACTTGCATATCTTCCAGTTTGTGGGAAATCAGACATATATCATCGGTGAAGTCCAGATTCTCCAAGTTTTGTGTGAGTCCATTTAATGCCTGTTTCCTCATTGCCCGCCGCTGTCTGTCGCATTATCCAGTCTACTGATATCAGGAAGATCATTGGCGATAATAGGCAGCCTTGTCTCACTCCCATCCTCACTTCGAAGGCTTCCGTAAGTTTCCCGTTGTGGATTACTTAGCATACAGCATTGTCGTATAACTGTTGGATGAGATGTATAATTGTCGATGGGACCCCGTAGAAGCGAAGTAGTGAACAAATCACCTGTCGATCGACGCTATCGAAGGCCTTTTGAAAGTCGATGAAGTTGAGATAGAGAGGTGACTGCCATTCCAAGCTTTGTTCAGTGATGATCCGTAGAGTGGCGATTTGATGAATGCATGACTTGTTTAGCCTAAATCCAGTCTGTTCCGGTTGAAGTTTTTCATCCAGGTTGGCTTGTTTGATTCTCTCCAGGATGATGCGGCTTAGTATTTTGCTTGGGACGGACAAGAGCATAATACCGCGCCATTTCTTGCACTGACTTAAGTCTCATTTCTTTGGTAGTTTGAATAAGTATCCTTTCTTCCAATCGTCGGGTACTTTGGCCTCTTTCCACACCTCCAGTAATGGCGTCATCAAGTCTGCTGATGTCTCTGGGTCCATTTTCAATGCTTCTGCTGGGATTCCATTTGGTCCTGCTGCTTCTGCTTATTTTCTTAATCCCTATTATCACATTCTGATGTGAAGCTCTAAAACCACTACTACTAGTCCGGGGATAAATCAATAGAGTTAATATTTTCCAACTAAAGTTGACTTTTAATTATATAAACTGGTGTGTTTAGTATGTCTTATGACTCTCATCTCATTTAGACTAGTGGCAGTACATATATTGTTGTTTTAAACATTGACTAGCTGACTTACTGACTGGTCTCAACAAAGAACTACTCTGCACCGATGTGCACCAGTTCCAGTCACTCCACTCCCTCCTTGTAGCACACAAAGCAACAGTAGAAAGTAAACATAGACTCAAAACAGAGATATGAGGCAAAAAGAATAGTAATATCGAAGAAGAACAAAATACAGTTTTATTGGATATTATAAGTCACAAGGAGTGGATGCATCTGTACCAGCCATTGACAACAAGGATTTTGAGCCATATCACTAATTGTCTTCAGTCACAATTGGTTTTAACCTTTCTGAGGTTTCTAACCAGTCAGCCAGCCACTCTATACCTCCCTGTGTGGCTGGCTTAAACTAACTATTGTGGATTTCATTGACGGATGAGGTCATGTTTTGGTTTTACCACTACAAACAGCTCTTTTCCAACCTGACCAATCCTATGTCAGTCAGCTAGCACTGCCTGTTGTTGAGGAAGGCAATGACTAGGCATGCGTAACACATTTCCTAACCATCTCAGTCGATGTAGCTTCACAGCCTCGTCGATTGATTTCCCCTCCCACCTACCTAGCACTCGACCAATTCCTAACCTCACTATTGCTCACACTATTACACCGACCACCTAATGTGGGAGATAGAACACAGTCGCGTATGATCAAAGATAGCTAGCTAAGCAGGCTTTAAAGGAGGATGGAGCAGACTACTGAACAGTACACACACCCTTTGGTCGGTAGCCAGTCAGATTTCATGTCTACCAAGCCATGCGTAAATCGGCATATTCGAAACTAACCCTCTGTATCCGTGCTGAGATTTCGTCAACGATCAACCCGTTGGTGTTAGCCGATTTAACTTCCGAAATAGGTGAAGTGGTCAACACGCTCTACCAATTTCCTCCCTATTTCTAAGCTAGGAGTCGATGTAGTCCGGTCCTGTGGCGTCATCTTACATTTGACAGCAGGAGTGAATCGGATGCTAAGCATTCGTAGATTGCAGCTCAAAGTGTTCAGAAGACTCTGCATTTTGTCAGCGTCCTCGCCTAGAAGGACTATATTGTCTGCATATTCTTAGTCAACGAGATTATTCCCTGGGAATACGTCAATCCCTGAGTCGCTGAAGTCAGCAGTTAGGGTTAATTCCATTAGTGCATCTATGATGAAGTTGAATAGAAATGGGGATTATGGGTATCTCTGACGGACACTACTAGTCGTCACCACTTCAGATGAAAACTCGCCATAAGCCCTCACCTGACTGCATGAGTTCGAGTAGAGTGAGTGCCTTGATCAGTGTAATGTGTTTTCTCGGTATTCCCTTTACAGCCAAGCATCCCCAGAGAACCTCTCTATGGACAGAATCCAATCCTGTCTTTAGGTCAAGAAATATAACGATTGTTGGACACCCGTAGGGTTGGCGTTGACTTGAAGTCTAATCCACGAACACAAATGAAGCAGTGCTCATTGAGCTGCATTCTCGGTGTCTGAAACACGTTCATTATACACTATTCCTCCATCCCTTCGGATTCTGGAATCTGTATATGTACCATAGATTTGAAATCATGGGTTTCCAGCTTCTCTAAATATATATACCTGCTGTCATTTTGGTCCATTCAGTTTATTTGAAACTCTAGACGTTCATAATCACACTTTCACTTTTTTTTCTCTGAGAAACCCACCTCCCAACCGCCTAAAGGTGGTAAAAATAGGAGTTACCTGACCGAAGGTATAAACCTTTAGGGTCATAGTGAGAAGAAAATTCACCGTCATCTGTATGAGGCTATATATATATGAAGCCAAGCTATCTAGTGGTTACCTATATGTTGTGTGGTGACAACAAACCGACGTTCTATCTATAAATCCCTCTCCCCCATCATACATTGATTGTTAGATATTTTGTGAAGTTAAACTTAAAGCGCTAGTAAATACCAATGGAGAAATGACGTCGAATTCGCTAACCACATGATGAGGTGATTTTTTCCGTATTTATATTGCATGCGTATATTCATGAAAATGACGAACCCAAGAAATGGCATGAAACTATTACACAGAATACCTTTCTCTGATGTGTCACAGAACTACCTACCCCTAGTTTAGCACACGCGTGTCAATAGATTACTTAAACCATATTCTATAGATGTATTCATCTAGATCTTCTAAACTTCACTCTAACTAATGTTAACGCCAACGCGAAACTATCCCTAAATTAACTTTAATCTAAGTCGAACCAACCCAAATGTCTCCCTTATATATTAGGTTTAGCTAACCCCGGGATGGTAAAAAACAATGTTTGGAAACTATCGGTGACATGGCTCAAAATCGTTCTCAATGGCTGTTGCAGATGCATCCACTCCTTGTAACTTATGATTTAAAATGAAACGATATTGCTCTTCGTTATTACTCTTCCTTTGTCTCACACCTCTGTTTACTGTCTCTAATATGCATTTCTTCTACTTCCTTCTCTTGCTTTGTGTGTTACAAGGAGGGAGTATGGTGACTTGAACTGCCGCATATATGTGCAAAGTAGTTCTATGTCGAAAACAGACAGACAGGTTAAGCTAACCCTAATCTATCCTCAGGTCTAAACGCCTTAACTTAATCTTTCCCAAAGTCCAACCTAAAAGTTATCGGATATCCAATTTAATATCATAAAACTTTATTAAATATATTTGAATGATTTCACTGAACTTTTGAAGGTCATTGGTTAGATGTTTTCTTTTTAATTAACTTGTATAATAATTTATGTGCAATCATTTTAATTTGCTTTTCTTGTTTTGTTTTTCTTATCTCTCCGTTGAAATCTTTCGTCGCACAATGTTCACCTTTTCAAATGTCCAGTTGAAATTATGATTGCAGCGAAACATCAACAACAACAACATCCAAATGAAACTCCTTTCACTTCAAGTGATGAATTCGATTTTTTAACTAATGCCACAACATTAGAAGAAGAAGAAGGTGACAACAGACATCCTCGACAACATTGTTGTTATTCACCAACTACTAGCATCCATAACACCTTCAAGATGTCATTATCCCCTGATACTACAACTAGTAGTAGTACTTCTACTGCGCTGCCTACCAGTGGAGCATTGTCCAACTCTGTCGTAGCAAATCAATGTACTGTAACAAGATGATGATGATGACGACGGTGATGACGGCGATGATGATGATGAATCGCCATGCTTCATAATTTGTATCACTTATTTAATAATGCATTGTCGTCTCTATTCTCTCTCTCTCCCTTGCTGTCTCTATTATTATCTATATTTCAAAATAATCAATAATAATTACTGTTATTATTATCATTATTTTTCTATTTGTATGCATTAATATTCATTAAATTATTCAACATGAAGAAACTATTGTCATTCAATTATTACTATTATTATTATTTAATTGTTTAGTATTTATTGTAGAATAAAGTCACACACACACACACACACATGGATATACACTACACTTTGATGAAACAGTCGATATCACTTGCAAAGGAATACCTTCTTCGCTTGTTCTTCTTGTCGCGCTCTCACCCCCTCACCCCCCACGCCTCATGGCATGGCCTATCGCTTCACTTTTATTTTCTTCTTCTTCAATTTCCTCTCCTTTGTCAGTCTACAAAATAAACACGGTGGCGTTGACAATATTTATTATTCTGGTGTGTTTGTTTGTTTGTTTGCCAAGACAGGATGCGAAAACAATGATTGATGATGATGATGATGATAACGGTGATGAAGACGATGCGGACGGAGGACGAGATTAGAGAGAGGATAATTGTTTCCGCAACTCCTCCATCCTTTAATTTTCACCCCTCCTCAAGCTTTCCTCTTCATCTATGTATGCTACAACTACGATTACTGAGCAAAGACAATTGAATTGAAATGTATTCATTAGTGCGAATTATTTGTCTATTCTATTCTATTCTATGCTAGTGTGTCTGTCAGGTGATATCTCTTTATTTTACACACTCTTTTATCTTCGCCTCCATCATTTGTTTTGTGCGGTTGCTCTGCAGTCAAGTTGCCTTATGATATTTTTTTTTAAAATCTCTTTCCTTCTTGTTGTTGCTGTTGTTGTTTTGCATGGTCCTCTGTCTGTGTGTGTGTGTGTGTGCGAGTGCGTGCGTGCTGGGATGTCTATCTATTTGTCTACACACACTGTTTGTGGATAATCGTATCTATGGATGTTTATCTGCGTGTCGGTGCACCATGCGCCCCCCCCCTCCTCGTCGAATACACATTACACACACACACACTAGTACACTATCAGGTCATATTTTTTATTACTAGTACAACTTTTATTGTCACTATTGTTATTGCTATTATTATTATGATGATTACTTCTAATGGGTAATTATTGTACAATTATATCATGAACACAGGGGTATATATTTTGATAAAATTTAGACTATTTCATATGATTATTATTGTTATTATATTCCTTTTTTTGTTTTTTTTGCCAATCAGTGGTTTTATTTTTCCCTTTTTTGTTCATTTATAAGTGGGTTTTTAATTTGCTTTCTGTCTAAAATTCTGTGAACCAGGTTGTAGTGTGTATATTCATTCTTTTGTGCCCACTGCTCCCTCTATCCCATTTCCCCACCCCCTACCCCATCCTTCTGTATGTTGTCCAACACCACAACCATAACCACTACCTACATTCGTTGATTGATCTGATCTCAGTATGCGTGTTTCTATCTCTGGTTTGTGTGTGTGTGTGTGTGCGCGCACACGTCTGTGTGCACTGTTGGTGGGGTAGGAGTTCTGTTTAAAAAGTTTTTAGCGTGACAACTAGATCGTTTGTTATTCTTCTTAACTTTTTTTCTCCTTTCCCTTTTTCCTTTGTTTTACTACTAAGAATGGTGGACGCGCATTAGTTGTAGTTGTGGTAGTAGTAGTAGTATGAGACGACTACACCTTTCAGTGTTTGTGTTTGGTGAGACGCTGTTTTATGCTAATTATTATTATTGTATATTATATTACGCACTCTATACATATTTATATGTACTTCTTTTCTTGCTGCTGTTATTATTATTATTAGTAGTAGTAGTAGGTAGGATTGTTGATTCTCTCTTCTACTTTATCTAACTACTATTATCCTCCATTATTGGCTGGGTGGTCAACAACAGCAGCACCAGGGGCTGACGGCGGCGGTGTCGGTGATTATTCACATTGTGAAAATAAAATAATAATAATAATTTTCGACTTCAGGTAATTATAAGTTGTAAATCCCTTCCTATTATTTGCTATTATTACTATTATTATTGTTATTATTTTTGTTAAAATCAGCTTTGTTTGTTACTCTACAACAGGTATTTTGGTGGTGGTTATTACGCTTAGCTATACTATACCATACTACTACCACCACGACGATTATATTGTCGATTATTTCCCATAATAATAATGCAAATGAATTTTGCTATCCTCTGTCTCTCTCTTACCAATGATAAGGTTGGTGTTTGGTTTACTTGCCTAATATTATTAGTATTATTATTATTGTCCCCCGCCCTCCTCTCTGTCTCGCCCCCTCTCATTGATTCTGTGTGTTTTCCAATCCCCCCGGTATACAGATAATAAATAGATGTATAGATTTCTCTTCTTCTTCTTCTGCTGCTGCTGCTGCTCAGGTTTAATCAATTTTCTACCTATATTGTGTGTATATATATATATTATATTATATATCCTCCTTTTTGGTTGCCTTCATTTTTCTTGTATTCTTCACCTACTTCTCCACACTCTCCTGCAGCATCTCTTTGTGTCTATCGCTGTCGCTTGTGTGTGTGTCACTTTGTTGGTGGAGGGCGGCAGCTAATGATGATGCAATTCGCTCTCCTCCTCTCAGATCTCGTCGCCTAACTTCCTTTTTCTTTTCTTTTCTTCTTTGATTTCCTTTCTTTCACTCTTGTTATTTTTTGATTCTATATATTTTTGTTATTGTGTAATATGGTTATGTAATTAGTTGTTTACCTGCAAGACAGACAATCACCCAATCACTGGTATATTAACTGTCACACCGACGACGATAATGACAGCGACGACCACACCACTACCTGCCTCCTATTGTTATCATCATTATTGTGCTCTTTGTGTATATCTTCTTTTTCTCCTTCTTCTCTCTGTGATTTGTGCATTGAAAATGGTTAGTAGGCGGTTGGCCTGGAGTGGACATGATGGAGGGAAAAGATACGATAGATAGAAAACTTGGTGGTTTCTCACTCACCCAACCACCCACTCTCTCTCTCTTTGTGTGTCCTTTATTTCCTGTTTACTTTCTTTTCTCATGAATATGAAAAAGATCCTATCACATAAATTGGAATATATATATATATTAAAAACAAACATTATTTTATGTCATTTTGTGTGTGTGTGTGCGTGTGTGCCTGTGAGTATCACACCAAAGTACTTGCATACTTTCACGAGTGTACTCATACATTAAATAAAAAAAGAAAGAAAATATTATTAGCTTATTGACTCAGTTGATTGATCCATCTCACGCAGATGCACACACACACACACTTATACACACATTCATTTTTATCTATTTTTTCATTGTTATAGTTTGTTTTTGTTGTCCGTATATATTTATACTTACTTGATATCTTTTACCTATGGATAAATTCATTTTTCATCGAACTTATTCATCTTGTCATTTTGCTTTGTATAATCCTCGTTGCCGTCGGTCCTTCCCAGTCACCTGTTTTCATCTTATTAGCCGACTGGCTGACTGACTGACTGGCTAACTATCCACCGTCGCTTACTTCTATTACTATTACTATAATTATTATTGTTATTAGTATTACTACTGTACACAGCCATGCTTTCATTGTTCATATTTAATATGCTTGTGATTATAATTCATCACCAGTAGCTGGGATTACTCACATGAAAGAATACTTTTCATAATTATTTTTATCCTTTAAGACATTTTATTTATTTATTTATTATTTTCATAAACAATTATATCCTTTATTGTATTCCTTTATCATCATCATCATCATGATTGTCATTTGTCCTTCCCTCTGTGTGTGTGTGTATGACGCCAAGAGATTTTTTTCTTCTCTTATTGTTGTGATTATTGTTTTTACTTGTTTTTTTAGTTTCCGTAGACATCTGCGCGTCCCAATAGTGCTTATCTGTAGGTGACCGGCCTTGATTTTAGTGCTCTGTGTGTGTGTGTACGCCTTCACAGGAGTTTCCCGTTTATCCTTTACTACATACAACTGACGACTATTAACTACACCCTTTCGTTTCTATTGATTGATTCCTTGATTCAATTTGTATATTTCTTTGTTTGTTTGTATTTCATCATTTTTTTTCTCTGTTTGAGTAGATTTCTTTGTTTTATCCTGCGCCACACACACTCACTTTGTTGTGTTTACTATTATGATTATTATTATGATGTTTTCTTTGGTTATGTGTGTTTCGCGCCATCCCTGCCGCTGCCGCCTCCCCCTCCCACACCCCCATTATCCTCCCGTCTTTTGCTCACTCTTCCTGTAGAAAGACGTACTTGCGTGAGCGTCTGTGAGCGTGAGCGCGCCTGTGTGTGTGTGTGTTTTTCTCACTGAGCATTTCATCATTCATTCTGTAATTGGCTATATAATATATATGGAGTAAAAGGAAATTTTATTCTATAAATAATATAAAATTTATTTGAAGGACGATAAATGCGCCTTTCACATCAATTTATTTTATTATTATTATTGTCTATCTATGTGTGGTATCTATTTGATTGTAGAGCGCCATCCTCCTCACCCCACCCACCCACTCACCCATCCCCGCCATCTCCTGTCATTCACTTCTTTCCCCTATCTATCTATCTATCTAATCTAACCGTCTCATTCTTTGTGTTCTATGCTGTACAATCTGTTGACATCTCAACTCGTAGAATATATTTGTTTGTGGATGACACCATCAGATAGATGTAATTGATTATTGATTGACTAATTGTGACGTGAAGGGGATTGATTATTTACTGATCGTTGGTTTGTTCCTCTGTCACACACACAATGATCATTATACGACCCGCCCCCCTCCAGCTTTTTCTTACTGTAATCAATAACCCCAGGGTGGGATGTGTTTTAAAATTTTTCTGTTCTCCTCTGTCTTTAATACACTTCGCTTCACCTCCCTCTTCC